AACATTAGAATCTTGCTATTTTATATAGTAATTATATTATTAGTTATATCAAAATATTATAATCTTTTTTTTTATATATCGATATTAGAAATTGTAAAAACGTGACATTATACCGTTTGACAGATTCCTGTAATCTGTGCACTTCAATTTTCACTTCCTCAAGATTGCTACATACTTCTGTATTGCTCTTTTTCGCTAGCTCCAACTTCCCTCTACACTCGTCATCCAACTTTTGCTCTGCAAGTTCCTTCTGCGCCGTCTCTAAATTTTGCTCTGTAAGTCAACATACGATATAAAGTTCTCGGCCTTCCATTTATGCAAAATTCTTTATTTTGAGATAAATTTTGGCCATAAATTATGGCTTTCGATGTTTGAGACTAAAGAAGTTTACATTGAGTTTCGAGTAAATAACGAAAGTATTGTTAGAAGAAACCTAAATTCGAAAAAGGTACATAAAAAGTGCCGGCATTTCAGAAGTGTTAATAAAACGAGCGTCCCTCAAATATTCGAAGCTGTTAAAAATTCAAAACGGCGCGTCCAGCTTACCCAAACATTTTCGGCTGGTCTCGAAAACCGCCTTGGCGGTTATAAACTTCTCGAACTTTGCATTAAAATGCGCATTGATTTTCCTCGTTAATTCTCTCGGGATTTGCGCCAGCTCCTCCTCACTCGCGATCTCGCGAAGAACGTTGGGCTCGCTCTCCTCGACCGCTTTCAAGTCTAATGTACAATGGTAATACCTTTTATAAATAACACAATTTTTAGAAAAATTTCGTTGCAGATGAACTATATCCAAGTGTGCACTTTTTGAATCTGCTGTTAAATTATGAACATCGTCGTGGTGTGGAGAGTACATGCTGTTAATTCTTTTTAACAGATTACTTAAACTCTCGTTAGGATTTCTAGGAAGGATCAAATCTGATGTACCGATAAGCATTACAGCACCCAGTTCTATATAAGATTCACGTGAACTCTTTTTAAATGTTAGTCTGAGCATTTTGGTTTTGAAGTCGCACGGATGCGATAACGGTGGAGAAAATAATCTTGATTTCGGGGGTACAATCTGAGACAATTCATCCCACAACTGAATCCAGTGATTATTGGAATCTTGAGCCGAAATTTGAATTACGTTTCCAGGATTATATATTTCGTAAATAGAGACTCTGACTGGATATACAGCTTCATGAAACTCGATATCTTAAAAATAGAAAATGTAATTATACTCTCTTCTCAACAAAAGCGTATCTTCTTTAACAATATCGATTCGAATATTACGTACCAATATAATTATTTTCGGTCGTCATATATAGGCCTTTTGTCCACTCTTCAATTGCCTCTGTCATGGAATCGGTGTGTTGCCACGGAGATATTGAAATATCGACCTTTCTCGACTATATTAGAAAATCGAAATGTGTCAAATAGAAAATCTTGTAACATAAATTTATAGATAGCGATTACTTTGTACAGGACAATAACAGATAATACCAGGAAATACACATACATTTATTTTTCCAAAAGAACATGGCGAATGAAATTTTTCGACATAATTTAAATCATCGGGTGGTCCAATTATGTCAGAGGCAGTATAGAATATGCTACGATTCTGGTTTCTTCTCGTGATAACAAATCTTTTCTTCACAAATTGATAGACAAAGTCAACACTACCCTCTTCTGCTACGGATACTCTGCCGATGTAGGGATATTGACTACAATCGCAATTTAAATATTTGTGGGTTGTCATATTTGTTTCTCTAAAAGAAGAAATAGTTATTTGTGTAACAAGTGCCGTAAAATGAAAATTCCCGAGTGCGGAGTTTACGCACGAGCCGAAGGCTTACACACCCTATTTTATGTTGCAAGTGCCTGGAAAGTGGTCTATCACGCACGCGTAGCGTGCGTAATGGGCCACTTTCCATGCACGTGCATGTTGCATAAAAAAATATGGAGAATATATAGTAATCCTTTCTTTTTTAGTATATGCTAAAATGCATTATAATATTATATATATTTATAATTATATAGCGTTAAGATTATATGTATAATCTAACAATAAATTTATTTTGCTTCCGAGAACTCGCATTGCTATTAGTACGACTGACATTATTACATAGTCTGTAATGCATGATGATGTGTATGTTAAATATTATTATTAAATAATTTATTATTTTAAAGAAAATAACAGTTATTTTTTAATTTTGTTAATGTAGAAAAATGTTCTTTTATAAATCTGAAATATCGGGAGCTCTCTGCACGTGGCGCACACGTGCACGAGCACAAAAAAAAGAACAAAAAAATTACACAATTTACGCTTAAGACTTACGCTTAATTTCTAAATGATACACGTTATAACATGTATCATTACCACGTGGTAGTGGTGTGTTTCACACGGTAGAAGAACATACGGCATACACACGTTCACGTACACCAAAGAAAAAAAATTGCACAATTTAAATTGCTTATATGTTCGCTACACTTACGCTTACGTTTTTAAATGAATAAAATTTTTTCAAATATATTTTTTTATTTATTTAATGTATCTTTTATCTCATTTATTGATATAAGTTGTAGCGATCTAACAATAAGTCACATAAAAGATCACACAGCGAATATATGTATATAAGAATTAATTATCTACCGGAAATTTAACTCGGAACTGAATCAAAAAATTAATCAGAAAAACTAATTGTAAATCTATCGATTTTCATACTACTTACTGTTTATCAGCAAAGCAATTTTGATTTTTTCCGTATAAAATGAAAAAATCATGCAAGAGAAGAAAAATGTTGGAACACGTGGTGAACACATACTATTGCCAGAGAGAATTAAACCTGAGATCGGCCATCCGGATCATTCTTCTTCTTCTTCTTTGCGCCCCTGGGCTGCGTTCGGAAACGTCACCCCGGAAACGTCTATCTCGCTGAGATAGAAAGAGAAAGGAGTATACTCGCGTGCACTCGGGTGACGTTTTCGAACGCAGCTCTGGTGGATCTCTGGCTCAACAGGCCATGGTACCACGCTTTCCATACAAGTCAGCGGGTCCAGTGGCGGGAAGCACTGGAGCCCTCTTGTATCATCCGGATCATTCCTAGGGATCCTTTATCGGAGGATCACGTTAATCGGAGACTGTGATATCGGCCCTTAGGGCTTAAAACACCTATATTGTAGATGGACACTTAAGCCTAGGTCTACAATGCGAGTCGTAAAGTCGTGAGTCGTAAGAATTGACCAATCACCAACGAATTTGAGGAGAATAATCGACTGTGATTGGTCAATTCTTACGACTCACGACTTTACGACTCGCATTGTAAATCTAGCATTATGCTAAAGGTGCGGCCCCATGGACTAATATTTTCCGCGTAAAGTCCGTATCAGACTACGGATTGGGATTGAGATTGGATTGAAATTTAATCAATCAGAACAGAGAAAACTGATCTCAGGTTTAGTAAACTTTGCTCTGATTGGTCAAATTTCAATCCAATCTCAATCCCAATCCGTAGTCTGATAAGGGGATAAACGCGTATCGCGTAATCATCAATCACAAGCGTGAATATGCGTCAAAAAATGCGAAACGCTCTTCTAATTGTTCCTACCTTATCGACATCAAAACTTTGAAATTAAATTTAAAAAAAACGAGACCTGAGCGACGATTTTCCTTCTCAGAATGTTTTTTACACACAGAAATAAACAATTTTACAAAGTTGTAAGAAAATCGGAGGGGAGAGCTTTATACTAAACATTTACCTTTATTATATATTATCTCCAAATTATTTATATCATAGAAAAAAATCATGCACAAGTAAGTCGAAAGATGTATATTCATAAAAATTAATTCTATCAGAAGGTAGTCTTATACCTTCAGTGTTATTTTAGGCGTTCTTAGTTTTCTGCAAGATTGTGCGGTTTGTTTTTGAACAAAGAAAATTAAATACAGAATACATTTTTCTACCTCGCAATTGTCACATTCGCGATTACGTGAAGGAACAAGATTGATTGACAAAAATCGAGCTTTAAAGGGTAGGGCAGAGCGCCGATGCAAATACAGATAATCCGACCTCGCGACTTTTTTACACGGGATAAGCGAACGCGATAAAAAGAAAGCCTGGCGTTGATGGATGAGATCGGATTATCGACTTCTTCGATCCATAAAAAAATTTCGCCGATAGATAACCACGATGATCCAAAAAATGTCATTAGCAAAATTGTCGAAAAGGAAACACTTTTTGTTTAAAAAAAATCTAGAAAAACGGAAAAAGAGGTGTAAAATAGACGACACGAATTTTTTTGTCAAAGAGTACTATTATTGCAATTAGCGCGCATACGGCTGCGAACAGGATGACGGACTTAACGGCTTATAGAGTTGATTAACACGCAATCGGCACAGGTAAAAAGAAGGAATCTCTGGATAATTGTTAAGGCAGTTGTGTGCGAAGTTCGACAAATCATTCCTTTCTGGACGACCTGCCTATTTATCAATCGCAAGACAATTAATGACGAGTCCGTCCACGTCAATTAGACCGCAGTTACAAACGAAGTTTGATTATATGTACAACGTATATATTCTAAACATTGAAGCGGATCTCATTGAGTGAAATTAAAACAGGCAAAAAATATACAGCAAAGCGGACCAAAGGACTCCCTTTTGTGATCCTTCTTCTCGCGTGTTCCAATTTACAAAAGATTTACAGTCGCGGGATATTCGTCCCAGCTCGTCGAGCGGGACTATATTTGTTAATACCAACTATAGAACAGCGAAGAATTAATCGCTGAATTCGTCTCTGCAATATGAAAACGAAGATCGCACATTTTCTACGTAAATAACAGGCGACAAACGTGATTATAAATATTGCAACATCTTGGGCGAGTACAAAATAGATGGAATTCCTATAGAATGAAGTATATTTACAATGTCGATATCAAAAAAGTACTCGTCCATCGCTTAAAATCGCATCCCAAAATTATATTCATATTAAGAATTATAATATATATAATTAAAATATGATATATAATTCTTAATATATATTTATCATTGAAAATTGTTATAAGCCAGTTTTTTTTCGTGAAATAGATAGAGGTATATCTTCAATGAAATATCTTTAACACAGCCGACGCTCATACTTCGCGAACGCGACACCAACATTAAATCTGCCAATTCGTCTTCGATAATATATTCCGCATCGTGTAATGTGTCACGAATGTCCATCGTGTCTAAAATAATAAAGGAAATATAAAAGAAAAAGACAAGGGATAGAATAAATAACACAATTTATTATACTCCCGGTTAAACACAATCGGCGGCGGCGCAAATAAAAATCGAGAATGTTAAAATAAAACAGCGATAACGCGCAGTAGACTAACGTGTATCAGTAAAACAGTAATAAAATTTGTTATCTAGTAAAAGTAACATCTAGTAAAAGTAAGATGGTTCGAGATGGATTTGCGAAACGCAAATTCCACGTTTGGGATTATATCGGGTGATACAACGATTACCGGCGCAACTTGGAGCAAAGTTACACGCTCGAGACGTTCCTCGCTCGTGAGATCGTGAATCACGATCGATATCACGCAACGTATGAGCGTAAGCTTAAGCTAAAATCGGAGCGATAAGTTACAGGACGATAAATTACAGGAGCATTCGAAGGACACACGCACGCAGGACGCATTCTCTCTCTTTCTCGTATTTTTTCTCTCTCACTCTCTCTCCCTTTCTCACTCCCTTACAAAAATAAGTTGGACGGAACGGACAACGAGTATCCTCGTAATTTTTTTACCCCCGTTTCGAAGGCGATTAGGCCATCCGGTTGGAGGCTTGAGCTCCTCTTCCCTCGTCATTCCGCGAAAACGCTTGGCAGACTGCAATTCGCGAAAGTCTATCCGTGTTAAGAGTGCTGTCAGATGGCTCTAAGCGTGAGCAAAGTGATTTCGTATCTCGCGACCCGAGGACAACGCGAAAATATCGAGAAGATGAATATGAGAATCTACCCGTATAAAAATAGAAAACAAATCTCCTTTCGCAGTTCTCGTCGTCAAATTCTTCGTTCGTGAAAAATAGTGAATTTTCTTTCAAACCTTAATAATTTAATTCGTTTTATATTTATCTTGAATTCTGTCCGTTTCCTTTGACTTCTGCTTTTTGCGCAGGGATTATTTTTCTAATTTATTCTAGCGTCACTAGTGAATCGAAACGATTCTATTTTCTTTAACATAACGATTTACATTTTCGTCGATTTATAACGGAAATTCTTTTCCAACGTGAAAAGTCGGGGCAGAACATGGTTGCGGAGGTATGTGGTAGCAACGCGCTGTACAAAAAAAAGAAAAAAAAAAGAAATAACACGTGAGACGTAAAATTAACGAAAGAGTTGTACGCTTTATTACATAATACTTCGAGGCAACTGTTAAAGTTGTAATACCTATATCTCTTGGGCTTTGCCCTCTCATTTGTGCAACGCACGGTGTCCTTTTCCTCGAGGACGAGAAAACGCGAAAATGCAGGTCTTGCTATGCGGAGGACGATCGCACGATCGAGTATTGCACTATATGTAATAAATAATCCTCTATTGGCAGCAATATCAGGATCGCCTCTCGTTACGTTGGAAGGGAAAGCTGAACGATCGACTTAATTAACAGAAGACGTGATCGACTTAATTAACGATTTAAATAAAACGTAGAATCAGCAGTAAAAGATTAACTATCACGACGACGATAACAAAAAAGAACATACACGCGAAGAGCGCCTCCAGCCACAATTATCTTGCCTCGATTTCTTCTAATTTATTACCTATTTTTAAATATTAAAAATCGTGATACGAAAAAAATCGTCGCGACAAGATTGAAAGGCAGCGAGTGACGTTAATCCTCGTCGCAAATTGAATTCCAAAAATATTTCGCGGAACAGATTTTCATTACGTTAGGCGGTTAGGACTCAGAACTACAAGAGCCACAGTTTGGCGCTAAATGCGCAGGAATATGACAAATAGTTCCATATAAAAAATACTTCCGCGATAAACACTATCTTGGATAATACTGATCCAATTTTCGGTGCAAGGCCGTGCGTGTAAAGTATGAAAATATACATTGCTCTTCTTTTACGTTGCAATACTATGAATGCAACGCTTTCAAATTAATACTGCTCGATCTTGTCGCGCAATCACCGCCTTTCAATTTGTCACGACGAGACACGGCGAAATCGCAAAACGGCAAAACGCAAAATGATCGCAAAACTAGACGAAAACTATCTTACAAAACAGGCGCGTATTGTCTCCAGGGATTTATTGTTGCTCCTCCATCTTCCGCGTGTTAATTAAAAATATTCATTCGGCGACAAAAATAGAGTATAAAAAATTGTTTGAAAATCCTTAAAAATGCACCTTTATATGGTGCGTATATAATAGCGGCACCGCATCGACGCTTCATCAACGACACGTTTTTGTATTTAACTCTGTGAAATATTAGGCAATCACAAAACGTCGGGACAAAATGCAGTTCATGATGTCACGGGCGCTATTGTAAAAAAAATAATTTAAACGTGAATATAAAAAACGAACGTTCGTCGATACGCGCTTTTCCCGTTCCAATTCTCGACCCTTTCCGTTCTTCTAGGCGCGTACAAGCTCTCACTTAGGCCCTTTCGCATCTTACATTTTACGATTTTGTCTCTCCGTGGGGTCAAGGTATCTACGTTAGGATTGTTTTATTAGTAAACGGACGTAAATACCTCTTGCAAAAATACAATCTCTCTCATACGCTAAGAAAGGTCCGTTACATGCTACGTTACACTTCGTTATTCGCTTAGTCGCATTAATTATCGTCTCCACGGACTTTAGACTGATTCCAGCCGAAATGTTCGATAATAGTGTGTGACCTGTGGCAAGAAAGGCGCAAAACATCGTTCAGCGAGACTTTATTTTGTGCTGCCCGAACGAATCGACGCTCGTTCGGAACATTTCCCAGCTAATTTCTATCTGCGAATCGGAAATCGGTATACTGATGCATCGGGATTTGGCGAATCCATTTCTTATTCTTGTTTAGTTATTGCTTTGTTTTTAGAATTAAAGATCTTGTTAATTGACGCGCGTAGAGATACGAATACTCCCAATAGAAAAAGCGCGTTTAATTTTAATACTTTTCTCACGCGGATCATTCCACTTAATTTAATTTGTTCTTTAAAGACTCCGATATGTGCTTTTATTATTGTTTTAAAAATATCATGTTAATAACATGAATATATTCCTAGACTTCCTAACAACAATTCAAACTTAACCGATTTCGACTTAAAAAGATCAGAGAGAAAAAATCCTAAAAATATCTTTAAAGAACCATGGTTTTTTTAAACTGGTAAAATTGATTTAATCCTGATGTTTCAGTATAATATTAGATATGTTTGGCGACAATATGTCTCTCCTCGCTTTCACCCGCCTCTCATTTAACTCCGCAAACTTTTCTTCATTTAGATTTCTTTCCTTGCCTTCACCGACGCTCCCTCTTTCTTTTTTTTTTTTCATCTATGATGACTTGTTACCGTTCAGCAACTAAGTAACGAACGTATCGCAATTTTGTTCACTTTCTTTGAGAATCGGTGCGCGACTGCGGAGATGACAACGACAAGGAGAAGGTGATGGCAAGTGGATCGACCGAAGACGACGGAAGAAATCGACAGCAGCAGGAAACTTCACGAGCCACGCATTTTCACGAACGTTTCCTCAACGGTATATCGTGATCTTGTTGCTACTCCTCAACAGAGTTTGTCTCGCTTCCATTTGGCGGCCACAACGCGGCCTTCGTTTCGTCACTGCTGGGCCGATGATCATCGGGAGGAAACCGACGTCGGTCGTCGACCGACGATACTGGCGGTCGAATTCACGAGGGTCTCAGACAACGCCGCTCTCGAGGTCACTCGAGGCTCCTGATGAGCACGGCCAGTTCGCGGAACGAGGCGCCGAGTTTGCCGGGCGTCGATTGCTTCTTTAGCAGGACTGCCCGTATCGCCGAAAGCTTCTCGTAGCAGGAAAGGCACTTGTGATACCTGGAAAGAGAAGAAGAGAAACCGCTCGTTAAGTTTCCGCGCCGAAGACAGAGTGACAACGATGTTACCTCGCATCCAGAAAATATTATCTTATTTTTCTTAGCATTATTAAGTATAATACGATACTTGAGTATATTTTCTTCTCGCTAATAAAATCAGGGGAAGTAAATTATTCGAACAAAAATACCTAGATATCTAGCATAGTAAAATATATAGTAAAGAACTCACCGTTCCTCTCGCGACACGTCGACGCCGATTGTGTGAAGGGGTGCCTCCACATTAGACTTTATCACTGGGGCGAAATTACGAAGAATAAGTCTCAATGCCGAGCAAGCTACAGTTATATACCTGAAACAAACAATTTTGGCAAAATATAATATATTTAATAATAATAGATAAATTATATATATCATACGGATTAATCTTAAATTTTCAAGATTATTTATACACATGCAGATTGAAGAACAATATTTTTGCGTCTAATTAATCCAATTAAATTTATTAATTTTGATCAAATGATTTATCACTTGTGTCTACCTATATGTCTCTGTTAAAACTTGAAATACGTCTAACATTAAAACAAATTATAAATAAACTATAAATGAACTGAGAAATAAATTACGTAATAAATTAATTATATGTATATATTACATATATTTCAGCTATTTTAATTATAAGAAATGAATGAAACGAGCGAGATTCCATATTATGCAATTTATAACTCGTTCGTCTAGGAATAACTTGGGCGTTCAGGATAAAAACAATCGTGGAATGAGAATGGAAGCCCGTCTCCCAACATTGGTCTGGTCACGCCTGGTCCGTTCGGTAAAACGGGCGTTATTAGGCCTGCTAACGACGCCAATAAATAACGAAAGGCACGGAAGGCTTGCCTGCACGATTCAGCACGCTCTCGCTTTCGGACGGACGGGCGATAAAGGGTTCGAGCTCCCGTTTGAATCGGCGAGACGAATCGCAAACGGTCTCATGAATGCAACGCGCGCGACGCCGATCAACAATACCCCGTGTAATGCACCGTACACCAGTTACGGCAATTCAAATTTTATGCGATTTGTAACAAAATGTGAAACCGATACGAGAATAGTCGAGTAGGCCTCGAGACAAGCGTCTTTTCATGGACTTTTCAAGTAAAATCACCTAATATTTAAAATAATAATTAATTGATTTAGATATAATAATTTAAGCATCGTTGAATATAAAAAAAAATAATTTTTTAATCCTTCTTCTTGAGAATAAAATAGGGAAATAAGTTCCTAGCTGCAGAATCTCATTAACTTAAATTTCGCAAGTTAATTAATATTCTTTATGAGCTCAATAATCCTCCTATACTTTGCCAAATAATTTCCAACGTTTTACATCAGCAAGAAACGCGTTTTCTTTTCGGAATCAGCGGTGATCTATACAGGGATGGAGATAGGCGTTGAAGGGGGTGCGAGAAGCGATCGCGAAATTGGAAAACGATCGGGCGGGGCGCGAGCCCTTCCCCTGACACGTGACACGCGTCTAGACATTCTGGCCGACGATCCCTTTTTTTTTCTCACGAAGCATCGGGTCCAGGACGAAAAGCCGCGACGAACGAGCCGTGAAAATGACGAGCGAGCAAACGACTATATGCAAACCGCCACTTTACATAATAAGTCGTCCAAGATGTGTATATTTGTCACCGCGTTGTCAATTTCACAGTACAAAATGCTATCGCTCCTCGAAATGTGCGAATCCAACAAACAAACATACCGAGTTTTCCTTGTTTCCGTTTTGCTATATATTCTACTGTGTGTATCTTAGAAATATTTTTTCACTAAAATAACAATTTTCAGAATTGATTATTCCTGCATGATAATTAGATGGAAAATTATGTTAAGAATAATTTTTTTCACGTTAAATACTGAAATAATTAAGTAGTAAAGTAGTCGTAAAAATTTTCAGATAAAGACTAACAATAAGTTAACAAGATAATATATCCCATTGTTAAAGCTTTTACACTTATACAATTATATTGCATAAACTTATTATATATTATAAACTTATTACGATTATGTATATATTTATTAAATATAATTATATAATTTCCGAGCAGAGAATGGCAGGTACTAACAAATGGCTCGACGACCTCGCTATTACGAGTGACTGCGAACGACAGCTGCTGAGCGGCGGATAATTAGTTTGAATTCACTTTTCACGGTATTAAATACATACGCGCGGGATGTTAATACGCGACTGCTATTAACCGGTTCACTGAAATTACTCCAGGCAATCGGCACGAGTGGTCCAATTAACACAACAGCTTATTTTCTGAAATCAAACTGTCGCAGAAGTCTTTTCTTTTTTTTTAATAGTCTAAAGATATTTGCAAACTAGAAATTATAAGAAATTCTTTCAGATATAATCTCAAGTTCTCGGAAAAATTTAAATTACAATTAGCAAGACAATATACAGGGTGATAATTGAGAAGTTACTCAAACTAAATTACTGTTATTTTGTAATGATGAGCGAACACAATGAGACAAATTAAACCTAACGTTATACTGTATAATTACCCGCTGTGTAACAAATACATATACAACTTGACAGGAGAAGACAAGGGTCCCAAGATAGATGGAAAAAGAAGAAACGGGAAACTCGTTAGAGCATTTGGTGTTCGATCGAAGCCTAATTTTGGGGAAACCCTTACAGGTTCATCGGAAGTTGCACGACCGATCTGCTGCTCGATACGACTAATTAATCGTTAAATCAATATAAAAATGATTTGCGGTCCGATCGGATCGAGATTGCAGGTGTAAAAAATTGATTGTAGCATAAGAAGATTGTAGCGTCAATTTTTCTGACAAAAAATAAAAATTTGTGACAAATATTATTATTCGCTAATAATAAAATAAAATAAAAATCTAATGATATATATTTATATATTATAATAAATTTAAAAATATATAATTAACAAGTATGTAAAATTAGTCAGATCAAAATAATGCCATGCTAACTTTTTAAATAGAGATAAATAAACCAGATAAATAAACTAACTTCTATATAAAATATTTTGATGAAAATTTAACGCAAAATTAAATTATAATTAGGCTTCTAAAATCCACATGAGTGATCGCAGATCATTATATATCCTGATAATGAGAGGGCAGATTCTTGCGAGGCAACACGTGCGCGAGGAATAAAGGCTGAGGGTGAGTAATGGTAGCCCACAATAAAACGCGGAAGGAAACAGTCGTTCTTCGTCACGACAAAGCAACAGCTTGGAACTGAGGGCAGTCGGTTAATCGCCCACTTTCGTACGTCAAACGAACGTAAAAGACAAGCCCCCTCCTCCTCACTCGGATTTATAGTCGAACGGTCAGGAAGTGGCGCGTATCTGACGAGAAACCGTTTAAATTTGTAGTTATGGGACGTAACGGTAATATAAAACTTTACCTCGAATGAAATATCTCCCTTTGCTAAACGTAGTTATGATAAAACTCAGTTTTATCATTACTTCAATAATAGACCGCTCGGCGTACATCGTCGCGAAGAAAGAGTCAGCTGCTCTAATCTTTCTAGTTCAAATAATTTTCCAGATCTAGAAACCTAAATTTACGAAATTTTCTAGATTCAAAGTCTTTTTTTAAATTTTAGAAAATTTCGTACCATAAAAAATTTCTTTCTCTAGACTTGCTCATCTGAATTTTGTTATGCGTTATTCCCTCGACGTGCGTCTAACTCTCGACAAATTTTGATCGGTGACGACAGTTCGGTGTTGAAGATGACACTTGGTCGTCCTGTCCACTGTCATCGCGCTGTGCCGGCATATGCGAGCGTGGCGGCACTTCAGATTTCAATTCGTTTCGCGAACAATACAACATGGCGAGCGACACGGAGGATCGGATCCGTCGTCTCGTCGAATTTGCATCTGCCGCTATCTCCCATTGTCTCGGCTAATTTCGTACACCGCCCTAACGCTCGCCTCGGATTTCCCCGCTTCAGCAAATTAGCCATTCCCATAGTGCGGCCCCGGACCTCGCAGCACCCCCTTCTAACACGAGGGACGCGAGAGAGACCCTCTCGGAAAGGGTGTCTCCATTTTCCAATACACAAATGCCGCGCGGGGCATTTCGCCATTGAAGGTGAAGTAATCTTAGTCGATAATAGATGCAAAGCGTGCCGCGAAGAGCGATGCATATTCACCGTGTCATCTCTAAATATACACGCGTGATGCGACAATGAGACGCAGACGCGCATTGCAATCGGACGAGAATGCAAATGTGACACTAATTGTGAAGCAAATCGATCTGGAAACACGGCGAACTTGCAAGAAATATTCCGACAAAAGAAATAAGACTACATTAAAAAAAAAAAACGATACACATCACTTGCAAAATAATTAAGTTCAGCTATAAACGATAGTAACGCGATAGATTAATTCGAGGACATCGGTATGTTTCTTAGGAAATATTAATAAGAAAATGTAAAGCAGAATATTTCATACTTACATCTCATATTTACTCTGAAAGAGATCGCTGATGGGACCCAATAAGGAATTGCACAGGTCCAAGTTCCACATCGCTCTGCGAACAGAAATAAAAGGAGACAATTATAAAACCAAATACTCGCCATGTTAACTGAAATTACTGGATTGATAAGGCTACATACGGTTTTAATGTGATAATACCCAGAAGATCCACAATGACCGCCAGATCGTTCATCGCGACTGCAGATTCCACCGCGGCCTGAAATCAATATTACGTTTACATTTTTTCCCTTAACGTCTCGTACGTTTCTACGCAGAGTCAGATGGACGACTACCTTAAGATCTTTATTGTGCCAGAGAGAATATATTATTTGTAATGAGCGATGCCGACTCTTAAGTACCGCCATCATCGAATCGTGGCTGCGCATCATACTGTTCAAAACCTCGGCCTCAGACATTTCCGTCAGTACGCCCATCTGAGGATAGCCCAACGCCGTAGAACCGGTGTAACTATGCTATAAAACATAAATAAAAGAATTAAAGTTTAAGAACTTTCTAACTCTATATAAAGTAGAGAATTATTAATTTTGTAAATTCGCACGAATTTGTGGAAATGACAGGATTACCTACCGGTAAGAAATTTTCCACGTCCAAGCCGTAAGGCTTGTCGGCACTCATCGGTACCAATTCCTCCTTCTCTGCATCTTCGACGTTGGTCCTTATCTGCGAGACGCGTATGTCAACCTTGGGATTCGGTGGGACTTGAGCCTTATTAAGTAGCTTCCTTGTAGACGTGGTTGTGGAGGCGTTACGCGCCGACAGCGCGGTTGAGGTAACAAAATTTCGGTTGAGCGACGTCGACCTCGACTGCGCTGTGTTCGGCCTGTTCAACGCAGGATCCGAGGGACTATGTCTTATATTATTAATTCTGCAATAGAGAAGCCATCTTGAGTCACATAATCGTTATAGAATACAACGATTTTCTAGTACAATTAACTTTCAATCTTAACTAATTAATTTTATAAGCATTATGATAAATATATTCTACATTTTTCAGTAAAAAAAATTATTTATTTTTAAAGATTGCAATCTGAGAAAAACATTTACGCCTGGTTAAGAAATGTAACTTGGTAAACATTTATATTGCGCTCATTGATATTTACGATTTAATTTATTTCCCATAATTTGTATATTTAAAGAGAATATATCTTTATTGTCATTATTATTACAATAAAGCAATAGCAATAGAGGTACTTACTGTACAGGATAGTCGCTTTCGTATCCCTGCTCCCCGTCCCTGCTGCTCTGCCTCTTTAGGAAGTGCTTCGGAGAATCTGGGCTGGGTACTCTGTTCTTCAACTTGCCGTCGTCCATCACAGGAATTACCGCGGCCATCGGCGCAACACGCGGTGTCAGAGTTGAGTTCGACCTTTGCGGTCCTAAGGGATGAGTCGGTGCCGTCAGCGTTTGTTCGTTAGCGGCCACCCTTTTCCCTGGAAGTGGCGTGATGTTCTGCCGCAGCGGCGGTATTGATGCGAAATTTTTGGACGCTCGTTGATTCAGACCATTGTTCGCCTGTAGATTCGCCCTGATTTGGCTCGTCGACGTGATCGTGTTCCTCTGTACCGGTGGCGAGGACTTGATCGGCTGAACACGCACCGGTACCGGCTTTGTCACGGATAACGTGGGTGCCGGTGGAGACGGCGAAGAGGGGGATGGCATCGACGGCACCTCCTCGCGCTCCATCGTGTTCAGGTTCAGGTTCGACATTGAGGTAGAGAGATTTTGCAGTATCTGCGGCTGCGCCGGATCTATAATAGATTGACAATCTACTATATTCGTCCTTTTTTTCTAAGAGAACTTATTTAAGAATCTTTTAGAAGTAAAATAATAGTAATCACTCAAAGAACAAAAATCTAAGAAAAGATTGCGCTCGCCTAATTAAAACTATTAGATTTGCAAATTAAATTTATAAATAAAAAAGACTTATCTACATATTATTCAACTTTGTTGAAATTCGTATTTTAGCATGCATCATACCAAGATTTGAATTGGATATCTTATACTATATTAATATTTGATACATTGGAAAGATTCCAATGCCGTTATAGCAAAAATTTCGTTCCAAAACTTAAATGATAATTTAGTAAAACGCAATCCGTGCAAAGGTTATTGAAACTCACCTATGTCATGAGGCTCCTGGAAAGCCTCGAGGGATTCAGGAGGTGGTGTGCGAGACACTGCAACATATCATGCGCGGCATGCTCATTCACAAACTATACAGCGTTTGCATTCACATTTAGACGTGTTTGATATGTCGTGTGTGCGTTCGCGAGGTGATTGCGAGGAATTGGGTTAGATGTTAGACTGGAATTTTTGTCACACACACACGCACACTCGGTGAACAATGAGACATTACAAGGCGGATGTAGCAAATCACTTACACGCCCTACTCGGCTGAAAAATGTCCCTATACTCTGTTGTTACGTTGGGTATGTCCGCGTAAGTGGTCTCGTCCTCCGGATCGGTGCCAGATTTATCCGCCTCTTCTATCGTTCGTACGTCCAATCTGTAAATGCGTACATATGCACGTTACGGCGATCGATGTTAGAAATCTGGCGTTAAAATTAAATTCGCAGAGAAAAAAACCTACGTATGTTTCTTCAACCCGATCGGTCGTTCCCTGGAGAAGCTCTTCCTCAGAGAATTTCCATGACTGAACGGCGAGCTCACGGCGGATATTCCTCCCAGAGGTGCGATTTTTTTCAAATCGCACACGTACAGAACGACATTCGCGGTATGAAAACTCGCGCCGATCTGAAACAATTTTATGTCTTAACAAAAACGACACCGAATGAACATATTCGAGAGTTTAAAACCTAGCGTTTCGTCCTACCAATTGATTTTGAGCTACGGCTATGTCCTGGACTTTTCCCCAGCCGGTCGGTATCGTATCCAGGGTCCTACCCGGTTCCCAGCCGTAAACCTTTAAAACGTCGTGGCTACCGGCGAACAGGCATTCTCCGCCTTGACTAAAATACAGGCACCTAAAACAGCGCAATAACAAAAAAAAATTAGCATGGTGATCGGGGACGATACATGTTGTAGGATTATCGTTGTTCTGGCTCACCGGATGGCCGAAGAATGACTCTGTTCCGTGGAAGATACGAGCTGAAACGACTCTAAGTCCCAGAAGTGGACCGTTCTGTCGGCGCTACCGCTGGCTAATAGGAATTCGTGCGGATGAAATTCGACAGTTGTGGCCGGCCCTCTGTGTTCTGAAAATTCCCTTAGTTGTCTACCGGCCTTTAGGTCCCACAGCTAATTTAAAAGTAACATGAAGGTCAATGTTTTTTATCTCATATATAAAAATAGCATAGAACAAAAGAATAAAAATGTTGTAATATACAAGATGATAAGAATGCTTAACGGTAAGATAAGACGTGATAAAAATACATTTTCCTTTCGATACAATTCTAGGAAAGAATTCTGACTCACCTTGACCATTCCTTCCTCCCCAGCGCTGGCGATCCACTGCCCATCGGGACTGAATTTTAAACTATTCACAGTCATGTCGTGCCCCTTATACGTAAAAATGCAGCCTTTCCTACGGATATCCCACAGTTTAATCGCCGTGTCCAAACTCCCAGACGCTAGTAGCTCCCCGTAAGGATGGAAGTCCATGCAACGTATCCCGGATTTATGTCCCGTCAACGTTCGCGCCAGCTTGGCGTGCTCCAAGTCCCAAATCTTCAGCGCGCCAGTCTGCGAGCCAGCGCATACGAGATCTTCCGTTTGACCGAAGCGGACGCATCCTATGGGAGTGGTATGGCCACTCAGGCTCTAAAAAAAAAAAAAAGACGAGGAGCATGAATCTCATAATAGTTTCAATCTGAATTGAATAACAAATTTGAATTTAATAACAATGTTCAAGGTACTTGATGTTCAGAGCTTTCTCTTAAAGTACTACCTTATATAAAATTATATAGAGATAAGTATTTGTCGTACAAATCGTCTGTATTTAATGTTGAATTCGGCAAACGAAAACGACATTATATTGCGTAACAATTACCATAATACAGTTCTGCTTCCCGACGGCCCATAGGTTCACCTTTTTATCGTCACCGCCCGTGACCAGAACACGACCCGACTTGTGGCCTAGCGCCAAGCAATTGACGTTCGGCGTATGAGCGACGAATTCCTCTGTGCCAGAAAAAGAAGCGCATACATTTCACGTCCATTTCACGTATGCACGCTAGTTTATCCGTGTTAACGCGATGAAAGAAATGCGATATAAAAGTTATCATCTCTTATATCGCATTTCTTTTGTGTCACATTAACATAAATAAAACAAACAAATATAAATCTATCGTTTTCATCAATGTCCATTTATCTGGGAACATGGAGATTATATAATTTCCTTTTTTAATTTATGTCAGAGAAAAAAATTAATTTGCTCAACTACAAAAAATATCGTCCATTTACCAACAAATAAGAATTATCTGAGCCACTCAGAAGCCAAACTGATAAGTCCACTTCTTGTAAATTTCTTGATTTCATTGCCAGAACAAATTATACCTTCTTATCAATTATCTTTATTCCTGATTTCATAGAATCGATTAATTTAGCTTCTGGGAGACTCAACTGAGGCTTGTGAAACCAGGCATGAGAAGTCTCTCCTTAAAGAATCGGTAATTCAATGTCAACCTCTGCTCTTCCAAGTAGCTTTCTAGGCTAAATGCCAAATCATCAATAAGTGAGTTACGACCATAATTGGAAAATGTTAATTTGGAGCTGAATATATATATAAACAGAAATGTTTATTCAGATTAAAGAATTAAAGAGACACAATCTTATTTTCATCAAGTATCAATTCAATACCCTTCTCTGCATTATATTAAATAAAAATAGAATTGTCATTCCTACAACAAGCTATTCATTCGTAAAAACAGGTAAGAAACTCTCTTTCCGTTACAATCCAGCTCCTGCCACCGTGGGAGAAGTGACTTCTCATTCTCGCCGCGGGACAAATTCCCGGATTGAGCCAGATGTAACCATAATTGGAAGAAACCGCGAGCCAAGTGCGCGAGTAAACAGAGACTGTTTACCCGCGGGGACCTCGTGGAAAAGCAGGATTCTCGTCGCGGAGGAGGGAACGGAGAGAGAAAGAGCGACACGGAGGGGAAGGACGGGACGGGAGGAGAGAAAGAGAGCGTGAGAGCGTGAGAGAGCGTGAGAGATCGCGCGCGCGCTCGCTCGCGCGTGTCAGGACACGTTTTTCCCCATGAACGACGATCTTACGGAGCTTCCAGGACCTCCTCGTGGACGAGGCCATATTCGCGCCGCGCGCGCGGACTTATTTGGCAGCGACGGCGGTCCGTGGTCCCGGTTGGCGCACGACGTGCGTTCTCCTCTCGCTGCCGTTGCGCGAACGTAACATGTTTACCAGCAGCAACGGCAACAGCCTCCTCTTCTCGCGCGGCGGCCTTCTTCTCCTCTTGCCTTCCGCGACCGGGGCACCCGCGGCGCGTGGCGTCGCGCAACGTCGTCACGTCGTGTCGCGTCGCGTCGCGTCGCCGTGGTCGTCGCTCCCCCGCCGCACCGGGGTGAGAACGTGGAAAAAGAAACGCGACGCTGTCTGGTCGCGAGAGCGCGGACAAACGCTCGCCTCTCTCACTCGGGAAACTGCCAGTGCCTTGAGTGCCACCTCCTCCGCGCAGCCGTCCGGTATCGGTATCTCATCTCTTGAACCTGTCACTATTCTGTCCGTCTCTCTCTTTCTCTCTCTCTCTCTCTCTCTCTCTCGCTCTATGTGCGCAAGAGAGGGTCGCGTGGTGACGTTGCGTCTCCTCGTCAGATGACAGCAGTTCGCGTTATCGACCGGCTATAAGGCGAACCGACCGCAGTTACCGACCGTCGTTTCTAACCTCCTCTTTGACTGCAAAAACTAACCTAAAATTAGGACTCGCTGATTATAAGACTGGATTGTGTTGCACTTTTTATGTCAAAATGCGAAATACGTGATTGAAAAGATAAATTTGCCGATAAACAAAGCGAATTTGTATAATTCAGCAAAATTACGACGGAACTATGACATGGACAGGCGATACTTGCGAGATTTGATGTTTGATGAGCTCGCAGATTCTTACATATACATATAATTTTATCAATATATATAAAAAAATTTAACTTGTTTATTATGTACAATTGATTCAACGCGACGTAAGGTGATGTCAAACTGTGATAGAGACGCAGCTTTAGGTAATGATTTACGAATTCATTTACACAACACACGCGTCATTGGAAGCAATATTTTCTAATTATATCTACGTTACTTTAAAAAAATTTTAGTAGGTCTACTTTAAAAGAGAGCTCGAAGTCCCCTTGGTTATATCGCGATCTAATTCCAAGTTATTGAATTCATATCCATTGAAATGACGTCGATATTTTGTATACGCACTGGCTTTGCGATAAGCCGAAGACTTCCTTCGCCCAGGACTCCCAAGGGAAGTTATGTGACGTACATTCAGGGTCAATCTCCTCAGCCCCGTGTACGAGAGTACTTCTATTACGTCGACCATCAAGGCATGGTATTTTTCGTTTTATCTGCTGGTTAAGCTTCAGCTCCTGTCATTAATAAGTGAACAAACGTCTTACGAATAACTTCATAAAATCTGTTACAGTTGTTCCTGGATGACGTTCGCATAAGGAACTTTACCTCTTGCTTTAAAGGTATGTAACAGTATTTACATTAACTGAAGAAGCATCTCGTTCATATGTCGAATTTATCGTAGATAAAAAATTCCTGGCGTTCTTTTTCAAACACCTGAGGAAAAATACTACCGGACGTTACACGGACGACTTTCCGTTCCTGTCAATCTGCGGCGTGGAGAGAAACTTTGTCAGATGCGACGACTTGCCGTTGGTCTTTACAAAGGTGATTCGGAAACGTAACGTGGAAACTGGCGCGGAAGAGGACTGGTTCAGTTACGCGCACGCAGATGACTTATTGATGGTAATTCCGCAGAAGCTATATAAAATAAAATTATCATGTCAACAGTTTTACTGATAGCACAATCACCGTCGAATTTGCCGTAGGTGCCGTTCGAGCCGCAAAGATTATTTATGAACATAAAAACAGGAAGAGTATATCACCCTGCGACGGAGAAAGCGGGTGGGATCGGCTTGGTGAGGTCCAATCTGGCTATCGAATTCAGCACCTCGTTCAACTTCGAAAACGGCGAGGGAAATGCGCCGACACATTTCGTGTGGAGAGACAAGCGATACCAGCTTGACACGGAATGGTACAGAGACAAGTTGTCATGAATAATTAGACGAAAATAATGAAACTTTATTCTTAATTTAAGTATAAGCAGATTGCGCAACATAGAAAAGTGATTCTCCGATGATCTGGAGATGAACGTATTATTTAATTTCAACAACATATTCCTCTTTTCTATAGTTTTATCAGAGATATATATTTTGTGTAAATCATACTTTTGTAAATATACGTAAATTTATACATATGTCTATATACATAAGTCCTTGAATATTTTAATGGTCTATATTTCGCGTCACATTAACATACTGTCGAAATGTCAAAGATCCTGGCGGTACTATCGTCGGAAACCGTCAATGCTTTTTTCTCGCCACTGAAAAATTACAAAATATATTGGTAAATACCGCAGAAGATATCAAATGTATTTCATAAACAAGAATTTGATATTTCGCAAATAGAATGACGCCATATCCTCAAAATGTCATCAAAGATCAGAACATTCATTTATCAGAACGTTTAATTGCTCGAGAATGTAATGCAAAATAATCGAAACTTATTTAAATTTGTGATTGGTATGGATATTCTCCGATACACACACACACACACATTACGATAGCTGTTCGAATTTAAATAGAAAAGACGTTTATTTTTTGGCCCAAGTATAATCGAAACTAATATATGACTAATCGAAACTAACCTATCCAGAATCTTTCCGATAATAGTTCTATTTTCTCCTTCTTTCGCGATTAATCAGTACATCAATTTGCTTGCTAATAAATAAAAGGTTTACCTGGATATACATAAGTCATATAAAGCCGCTTTGTGTCCTGAGAACTGTCGAAGGCATTCACCTGCTCTAGCGTCAAAACATCTTACTTTACCATCTAATCCTGCTGTAAACAATATCGTCTTAATCCAAACCAATTTTGTGATACCTCCTTCCTGTTCCATCTCGTGCCTAAGAATCTGAAGGGGATTGCAACTTAGAACAGCTTGTCGTTTGTATTCGAAGGAAAACTTTAGATACAAATATAAAGAGGCATACTTGTTTAGAAATATCCCATATGTAAATTTTTCCTTGTATATCGCTCATGACTGTACCAGTTGCAGCAGCAGGGAATGTAGGATCTTTACAGAAAGCTGCGGTTTCTACATTATTCGTATTATTGCCAGCTTCATTTCTATTCAAATCCTGAAGTATACAAATTACCTGAAAAATAATTCGATATTACGCGTTATTCTTAAACGATAAATCGGGATGCCGATGTAGCTTCGCGCGAGAGCGGCGAACTCGTAGTTAGTGAATCTCGAGAGTTCAATTCCTCATCCCATATACAGATTTTACATTTCGCAAAATTACTCCAAGATAAGGTGCGATGCTGACAACCTCACCTTAATTGAGAAGCCTTCGGGAGGCCAAGAATTTGGGCTGTAGCACCATCGGTTTAAGTTAGAAATCGGTAATTGGCAATAATCTTGAATAATCGAGCACTACTTCAATCTTTATATAGGCAACACCAAAAGCCTATACAATTTTATCAGAAATCATCTTTCTTCAAGTACAAAAAATGTAGGAGAAAACAAAAACAATGGTACTACTTTTCCTATGTATATTGAAGAAAATTTACAGAAGTTTCCCTTACCTTGCCGTTATGCGCTGTGCTTAATATGGTCTGGCTCTGCAGCGACACCGAAATCAACAGATTATTATCCACATGACAGTCAATAGCGATGATAGCGCTTGCATGTCCGCGTGATCGTGTTTGGTCACGAGGAGTGGTAGACAATACGGTGTTGGACTTCAAATCTATTACGTGAATTGTCCCACTTTGATATCCTATTGCGGCACGTTTCCCTGTAAGATTTACACTAGATTTAGATTGTTCTGTTCTTTTAAGGAAATTTAAAGAGTATAATATATTATCGTACCATCCGGAAGAATTACTCCGGTCTCCGATCTATCACCGGTACCGTGTGCAAAGACTTTACAATCATCATTTCGTGTCTTCAACATATAAACCTCCCCCGTTACGACACCTGCTATTAAGACGTCGCTGAAATGGTGCCACTTTATCCACTAGACAAAAAATAATTATTGATAAACCTACTGTAAATGATTATGCTTAAATCAGCTACAATTGATTTGTTCTTTATAGCTGATTTTTTTATACTTGTCTTTCCTCTTTCTCTCCCATAATATGATGACTGATTAAATAGCTATTTTATTTTAAGTGCGAAAAATATACAGCTATAAAGAACAGTTTTAATAATTGCTAGCTCAGAGTACTCACAGTAATGTCGTTCGATAAAGTAGTTTCCCAGATGCAGGTCTTGTCACTTATCCTCCATAACTTTATCTTGCCGCGCATGTCGGCCGTGGCAATATACTTGTCGTTGTAGTTGAATTCAGCGAATATAACACTGTCGTCATGACTGTTGCCGGTACTGAAAATACTCTCGCCCGTGTTGGCGTTCCAGAGGTACGCCTTGTCGTTCTCGTCCCCCGACGCCGCCAGCTCGCCGTTCTTGCTTAACGAGCAGCAAAACACTGTGAACTCTGAAAGTCGGTTTGAAGAGAGAGAGAGAGAGATAATTAATGTCTCGCGTGTCAATCGGTCTCGCGTACGGAGATCAAGGGGGCTTTTTCTCACTGGGTGTGTGGCCGCGAAAGACGCACACGGCGTCGTCGTCCTCCTCCTGCGCGTGATCCTCGTCTACCGGCGGACCCTCGTTTTCATTCCCGGACGAACCCTCGCTCTCGAAAATCGAGTCGTCCATGTCAATGATCTCCTCGATGTCGCCTACTTCCAGAATCATCTCATCCGAGTCGAGATTCCCCACCTCGGGCGGAGACGGTGGGGTATGTCGGCCTTGCATCTATCGGCGAAATCATATTTAATCGGCTACTTGATAAATTAGTAAAGCTAATACTGACCATTACGAGATAAATTCACGTCCGCGATCGAGTGAAGAACGATCTTTGCTCTTCTAGATTCTTCCCGGTATTGGAACGTTGAAAATATTGATGCACGTGTTCACGGCACGTGGCCTTGCGATGTTAAAACACATTTGAACACTGACCAACCAGACCAACACTGACGAGAACGCGAGAGGTGAGAGCATATGGCTTCTGCCTTCTACTTATGGCTCCTGTAATTTTAAGCGGGGAGCGGGGAGCACACACTTCTGCACAACGCATAATGCGTAAGCATAAGAAAATTGATTGGTCCATACACATGTGCATAAGGAAATAGACCAATCTATGCGTTGTGCAGAAGTGTGTGCTCCCCGCTTTATGACCTAGTTTACATCGATCACTTGATACGCGTATTAAATAGTAAATAACTAGTAAATAAGTCTGATTATTGGCTGATCAGTTCAAATATACTATTTGCTACGCGTATCAAGAGATCGGTGTAAACTAGGCCTATGTGCTTCCACCTTAAAATAAGAGCCAATCACGTTCGACTGCTACTGAGCTGCTTGGTCTGCTGAACGCGCCCAATTATGGCCTAGTTTACACCGATCTCTTGATACGCGTATCAAATAGTATATTTGAACTGATCAGCCAATAATCAGACTTATTTACTAGTTATTTACTATTTAATACGCGTATCAAGTGATCGGTGTAAACTAGGCCTATATTATCACGTGATCAATACGTTGGTACAGAGAGAAACCGGTTTCTCTCTGGTTGGTATATCTGATTGTTCGAAAACTTCGAAACAGCAGGTTCAGTTACCGGTTCCGGTTACCGGCGTCAAAAGTCTGGCTGAGTCTGGCTGGAATAGTGCAGTTTAGTTCAGTTCGCCCGTTAGTGGTATCACATTTTCGCGAATCTCTGAGTTTCTTTGAACAAATTACTTGGTCTTCACAGTATTATCCTTTATAAGACAGAATCTTTGAATCTTTGTAAATCGTTGCTGCACACGATTTCACCGTAAGTACGCCAATGTTTTCTCGTCGTTTATTTATTAAATCAAAGAAGATTCTACATAGCTCGTCAATCCCCAGATAACAATTCGTGCGGGGTCATATTACCTTCACGGCGTGATTATCACACCGTGCATGCACGAACGCATCATGCTCGTTGATCTTTTCGATATAACGCCAAAATCACACAAAATACAAATGGTTCCTGATAAAGATGGAGATTTATACGTTACCAACCTTAAGATTGAAGAAATACACAGTCCAGATGAATTACACGAATGCCTACGAACTGTACAACGCAACCGTGCAGCAATTGCATCTTATACTCAGTCAAATAAACGGTAATTTTATTTTCATATTATATCTAAGTTAAATTTGTTCTTTTGAGGTTTCCTTCGTATGAATAAAAGTTAAGTTAAGGTCATATATTAATGTGCAGAATCTTGGTCACTCTGTTATCGGGATATTTATCTTATTTATCTTTTTTTATCTTTTCAATTAAATAAATAACATAGTTATCGAGAAAATGTTTATTATATGATTAAATATTTATTAAGATATAGTTTAACATAGAATTTAATTTATAATAAATAATTTGCATTTCAGATCATCCAAATCTCATTCAGTAGTAAGAATACGCTTGATTGGTACACATGTTACGAAACAAGAGGAGTCAATAGGAAATCTGAATTTAGTCGACTTAGCCGGGTCTGAACATCTGAAAACTGAAGAAGCTGTTAGAACTGCAGAAACAAAGAATATTAACAAATCTTTAGCCAATCTTGGCAAGGTAATTTTAGCACTATTGAAAAAACAGGAACATATACCTTATAAAAAATCTAAATTGACCCACCTGCTTATGCCTTCTCTAGGAGGCAATTCAAAAACTTTGATGTTATTAAATGTATCTCCATTAGACGAATGTTATAACGAGACATTAAATTCGCTGATATTTGCCAGTAAAATCAGTAATTGCAAGACTGGAAATGTTAATGAATAATAAAGACAGAATGACATCACAAGTGAGAATTATCTGAGTTTTGATGTAAATGGAAAGCAACTAATATTTATGATCTTTTTTTGTTTATAACATATTTTTCTTTTTATTGTAAACATTGTAAAGTATATCGCGTGTGTGCGTAACGATCAGTTTGTACTGTTATTTACATTATTAGAAATGGATTAGAAGGAATATGTCACTTTTTCTTTTATCTTTCGAAGAGTATTTCAGTTTCTAGTATAACATTGGACAAAAGTAGATTAATTTTGTTACTTAATGCATCACGATTCTTAGAAGACTGTGAGATACTGATTTTTATTGCAACATATTCGCCAATTTGCATATAAGCATAATTAATATGAGGCAGCATTAAATGTGTTATATATATATGTAAGACATTGAGAAAGTGATATCGATTAAGTCCCTAAGTAGAAACATATCTTCGATGAATTTTTCTGTTCCTCTTTTCTGTACTATAAACAGCGAAACAAAAATCAAAATTAAACAGAAACATGAACTCAACAAGATGTTTCAATTTTATTATACAATAAAGAAAGCACAGTATAATTGCCAAATACATCTCGCAATCCATCTTATATTCTTATCGTATATTATTTCTGATTGGTTTTATGTATCTTTCTCATTTTCCTTTATTAAATCATGAATCATTATTGTTATTACATTGTTAATGTTTCAGCTGTTATCCATTCCCTGAAAATCGAATATATTTCATTCACTTTAAGTTACTTCGATAAAACTTTACATACTGTTAAAAGGATTAAAGAATTAAAGAAAATAACGTATCATAATAGTCTCATGTTCCTCGGAACACAAAAAGGAATTAGATATATACATTCGTGTTTGATATATAGTTTCTTGTTTCTATATATTTTACTGTCTTTACTATAAATATTCCTTTTATTATCGCTATTTACTTCGCATCATGCAAATTTTTGTATTCGGTACACTAAGCGTTTCTGTCACGATCGATGAATATCTTACAATCGTCAGGTAAATGCGTAAACCTGTATAAAACACAATTATATACATTGCGGCGTTTATTATGAAGAGATAAATTATGTCAACTTCTGTGTGTTACATATATCTTAAATCGATTACTTCATACATTAAGATTTGTCAATCGGCATCACGAAAGTTCTATTGTCATATATCCGTCTTTTGATGGCATTGATTACTAAATTCCTTTAGTACGTCGCAAAGTCGGCCCCTGTTCGTCTTCTCGCGCAAAATGCGCGTGATGTCTTCCTTCTGCAAGACGGCGGCGAGGTTCTTTTGATTCTCCAGTCCGGCGCGTAACCATTGCGCGGTCCATTCCGGACACGTTTTGTTCAACGCTAACAGAACCTCGGCGTGAGGCTCCAAATTGTGAGGCACTGCTCCACCTAACGGAAATAAAGAAATAAATAAATAGGCGATTGAACGAAACCGGCTTCACGTTCGCAAATGCGTACATCCTGAAACATTCTGCTTACCGACACAATGCAGAATCGCCGCGACAAGTTCCTGTCCGATTGGTTGAATAAACGTCTGCAGGTGCGGGCTTTGCACAATCGCGTGACTAAGAAAATGCCCGGCCGCTTTGGCTGTCGCCGTCTCCGGGAGCGTTAGACATGCAATTCCTGTAAAAAAGAAATACAACTACATACATTGTACGGTGATTCTTTTTTTATATTTCTACGAATACATCGATGATATTGCGCTTACCGCACTGCAACATATCCGGTATTTGATCCGGGATTTGCAGCAACAACCGGGCGTTCTTCTTACAGATCTGCGCAAGCACGCCCATGTAGGCCTCCATCAAGTCCGACCACTCGGACAGATCGCCCTGCACCGATCTGCACACCTTCACGCCGTTCAAAGTTAACGAGCTCATTTCCGCGAGCACCGGACTCACAATGTTGTCCGGATCTCTGCCGAACAGCAACACCAGCTGCTTCAGGAGATTTAACGCGGCTGGATGCGGCCAGATTTTGTAAGAGGTCAACAGGATCAGCAGCAAGGGCCGTGCCTCAATCTCCGGCTGCCGCAACGCGGACAGGGATCGTTGCGCGCACATATGCATCGCCTCCAACGTGGCGTTATCCTGGCTCCACTCGGGATGCGTGACGATCTGATTGAACACCGACAGCACGCCGTCCAGCACGGCCCTGCCGATTGCACCCTCGATCGTGCTGAAGAACATGGTGACCATTTTCAGGTAATTCGTCACACCGAGCCGCGCCGTGAATAACGGCTGCCCCAATAGCTCCTTTATCTTCGTCACGCATAGTCCTAGTGTCGCCTCCAGGTGCACCAGTTGCTCCTCCATAGAAGACAACACATTAAGCAGCTTCCCGGCCGCATACATGAGCCGTAAACCTTCCCCACCGCCAGGCTCGACGTTCGGTAGCGTCTGACTGATGGTGTGAAGAATGGATGGCGCGTAAGGGGCGAGATATGGCCCGCACTCCCTCGTCAAATCCTTCAGTGCCATACTCGCAAACGGCGCTGTCGTGGAACCTCTGGTCAATCCTTGAATAACGAGCTGCAACACTTTCTCCAGCCACGGTTCGGGATGTTCTCCTATCCATTCGGCGTATGCGCCCAGCGTCGAACAGGCACACGTCAGTACCTGGCAATGAAAGGAGCAAAATACTTGTGTGATATTGCAATTAATAATTATTTTTAAGAATGATCGTTATATACCTCTTCAGGATACAGATGATAAGGTATGTGAACAATAATCAAGTTTATCAGCGCAGGGATGTAACAGTACTCCTGAGTACCGACGCTCTCGGAGAGAGCTTTGAAGGCGTGTAACGTCGACTCTATGTGAGTCCACGGTGAGTCTTCCAAACTCAATCTTTGTCCGAGAAGTGCCAGCAGATCACTGCCGAGAACACTGTAACAATAGTCCAACGTGTCCGCCACGTCCTGCCTGTAGCATCTGAAAAGCTCGCGCTCGTCCGCGTCTCCCCTCTCGTTCGGAGACGTGGGTAACGTCGACTTTCGCAGCAACGCCTGGGCCAGTCGAAAGTAAATCGGTTTCAACGCCTCCAGAGCCCGGTTTTCCAACGGTTGATCTAGCGTGGCGAGATCGTCCTGTAACGCGTACCAGAATCCAAACGGAATACAGCTGCGTGTTTCATCGGTAGGATAACGTCCCTCCAGTTCCGAGCACTCCAACAGCAGCTCGATCAGTCCCATGGCCGTCCACGTATGCGCCTCGTTGGAATTTTCAGCCAGAGCGATCAAAAACGCCCGACTGTGGGCCTCTCCGATGGCGGTCAATATCTCGCAAAAGTATTTTCTATTGTACTGCTTTGCCATCAAGACCAAACTCCTGGCCCACTCCCAGAATGTCTGTGGCCGTTTGTGAAGCTCGTAGTGCGTTACAATCATAATTAAACAATCTTGTACTACATCCCAGCTCTTCATGTTCTCATCATCGCCATGAGTCTCGTCTCTTTAACGAAAAAAATCGAATGATATTTAAATTTATTTAATAATTCGATAACTTATTTATTACTTTTTTCTATTGCTATACAGTTAAATTTTACAATATCAGTCTTTCAATAATGCAACTTACTTGTTAGGTGCATAATGAGCTGCAGCCACTAATAAATAGGGATAGATCTGGCCGGTGGTCTCTAAACATAGCTGGCCAACCTTAAGCCACGATTGAGCGCATTCCAGTCCCAAGGAGTATAATACATCGTCGTTGCCTTGAGAATCCAGATTACACATTGAAAAGACCCGCTGCAAGAACCATGCAGTTTGGCACCAGCTGTTGATTAAGTTGACAGGAGCTCCCCGCAGTTTGGCAATCTTCGCTTCTTGTCTCTTCTCGTACTGAAAATAATCGCAGGTTTATCATCAGTTTAAACTCGTCGAAAAGTAAAAATTAAGTAGCGCAATCTGTATATATTTTACCTCAATGGGAAGCGTCGAGAGCACTCGAAGCAGTAATTCTAACGCAGATGGGGAATCATAAGGTAACATGTCGAGCAATTCGTCGACTATACTCCTGTCCTGTTCCCTGTTTTCTGCACTGTAAACGCTGGCCACAAACGCGGCTAACTGAAATCGTTACATGTCGGGTAATTATATAAAGGTCCATTTACTTATTTACAGTATTCTCCTTTATTCTTAAATAACACAGAGAAGAATGTATTACCGCTTGACAAAGCTTTATAAGGATGCATAAGGGGATGTTGGGTCTCCTCACACTATTGAGCAAACGTTCCCTTAACACCGGGTACTCAGCTTCAGGCACTTCATTCCACTGTTTGGATATCTTCGCGTGCAAAGTCGTTGCCGCAAAAAATTGCACTTCGTATGACTGCAAAGATAATACGAACGGCTTCGTTTACACATCGGTGAAAAAAAAAAAGAATCAGCTGATCAGATCTGTATTCGTTCAAAGCACTTGTTTCAAAATATTGCCGATATGTAGGAAGAATTAAGGTAAATCAGAAGTTTCACAGAATAAAGAGGAAGAGAGACTAAACAATCCTGGGCTGATAGGTACCTTGGAAGGATCCAAAAGTTGCCAGACAAATTGCCAGGCCTCGGGGGAGGCTTGCACCTGTAGGAGCCATGAGTGTGCCTCGTTATTGCCCGCCGAGTAAAATTGCCTGACCGCGTCGTCGATGACCGTTGCATAATCCATACCAAGCGTTTCGCACGACACGTTGACAGCGTTACCCGTGCCCGTGTCTCCGTGTTCCTCTTATTAGGGCAGGTCGCGCACGTGGAGAGCCAACACGACGACCGGGGCTTCGTGACGCGCGTATGTACATTTAACTCGTCCCACTGCTCGCTCGTCTTCACGGTCCCTTATCATCTTCGGGAGATGCGATCAAGCGCGAATATTTTCCATCCGTACGGCGACACATAAACTAACCTAACCTGATCTAACCTAACCTAAACCTGTAATAATTCTGAATAATTCGTCGAGGAGCGTCACGAAACTGTGAGTTTGGTCGCTTGGCCTACTCCGCACTCTCCGCAGTCCGCAATCCGCGAACAGCTCCCACGCTAAATAAAAATAACACACAAATATTATGATCACTAAAAGAGAGTCGATTTTCACGATTCAAACTTTCGGGCTTACTGCCACCTCCCACATTATCACGATACTTTGAGAATTTATATTTTTATCGGTAATAATACAATAAGAAGTTAATAATACAATAAGAAGGTAGATAATTAATCTACAATCGATAAAATCACAAGTGACTAGTTATTTAAAATTAAATCTTTTTTAATTTTATATAAAATAGAAAATTATACCTATATTTTTTTATAAAATGTTTAAGTGTCAAAATGGGTTGATTCATTATTACATTATTTGTATTGCGGGAAAAATTTTTTCACGAGATACGTTTCACATTAAACTGCATTTATGAATCCTTTTTTTATACAGGGTTTTTGGTTTTCTTTATTTAATAACTAGGACATTTCCAAGTAACAATATAACATTTACACTTATATCATTAGAATGCTTAGTATTGTACGTTGCTTTGTATCACTGAAGTTTGAACAAACATTAGCAAGTTTTGTTTCTATTGCTCTGGATTATAGTTACTGCATTGAACCGCAAGTAATTTAGGACCCAAAGTGGGATTCGCAACGTAATAAGGAAACGCGGCCATTCCGTTACACGCTGCTCCATATTCTCCCTTTCTATTCAACGCGATCACCCCGCCGAAGAAGTTAGGATAATGTTGGGCGATTCTGTTAATCGCCTTCTTAGCAGCTGCACTCGGCGTTGCTCCATTACGCATCTCCTCCACCGCCAGAAAGCTACAAAAAAAGTATATTCAATTTCAGCAACTGTATTACTAAGATGCTAAATATTAACTTTGCTTTAATACGGAACAAATTAAAAATTAAAACAGAAAATTTAAGACTTAAGTCTAAATAAAATGTATTTATAATTGTATTTTAATTCATTAAAATGTATCTGGAAAAAAAAATAAATAAATAAATAAATTTATATTGATACGTAACGCGAATACCTCGGCAAAAATCGCATCATAATATCTCCGTCGCCGGTACCGGCTGCCGCACCGGCGTCCTGATCGGCGTACGCCCCAGCTCCCGCAATAGGAGAGTCCCCGATGCGACCGGGGATTTTATGCTTGGCGCCATTCGTGGACGTTCCAGCTGCTATACGTGTCTGCGAGTCTATCGCGACTATAGCGATGGTATCATGATTTTCCTCGCTTCCCACTGGCATGCTTCCGTCCTCTTCTACGTCACTCGCGCGATATGGTCCACAGGCGGTTGTTGGATCCGGTACGACGTTCTAGAAACAGCAAGAATACCGATGAGACAGTTGGGAGATGAGATACAAAAAAGAGCGTGGCCTCTCTTTCAATACCCTCCAAAAGTTGGGCTGGCACTTGTTCGCCCTCCACTGCGTCCACATTTCTTTGGACTCGTTCGTTTGCAGGGACTCCTTCTTGAATCCCATATTCACAGCGAAATCCGTAGCCAGGTCCCCACCCAGAAGGGAATGCTTCGTGTGCTCCAGCACCTTGCGAGCGACCGAAATGGCGCTCTTCACGTTCCGCAAGCCTCCTACTCCGCCTACGTCCATCAGCACTCTGTGGAAAAGAATGCATCTCTTGAATGTAATCACTAGTGTAGTTTAACGAAACGAGAAAAGAGCTGCTTTTGTTCGCTTCATTACCCATCCATGATGAGAGCGTCCAGCGTAGTTTCTCCAGCTTCATCTGGACTGCCGCCGAACCCCACGGTCTTTCTGCATTGCTGCTCCTCGCACAGGGAACATCCTTCCTCTATCGCGTCCAAAGCGCTTCTCTTCTGATTATATATCACATCCCATGCTTAAACGATAATTAACAGTGTCTTCAAATTGCCAGAAGCTCCTTGAGCGTCTCTCATTCCGGGCGCAATTAGATATAACATACCTTTTTTCGTCGCATCTGTATAATTCCACGTGATGACTATCAAGGGAAAGCTATCGGGACCGCCAAGTTTCTGTTCATCGATTGCATTGAGCGAGCAAACTTCCAAGAGCAACAAAATTCCTACAAAGCTGACGAGCCTCATCCTGCCTGCGGCTTCTGGAGGTGAACAGCAGCCTACGTAGGCATTAAATAGCATGAACTTCGCGCGACAAGGAGCATGGAGGGAGAAAATATATCTCTGATAAGCAGGAAATCCAATATCTGATTGATACTATTGCGCTATAAGTGGAATAGAGATTCGACAACAATATAATTCATTGTTACTAACCGGCGGCTATTTTTTTTATCTCGCAAATAGCCATTAGATCTACTGGACTATTACGTTGCCTTGATACACTGTAATTAGGTTATCGCATTGCTAATATTTTTCTAGAGCGAGGAAGCGACTTCGGACTTAGCGAGTGCATCGAACTATGTAAACAATGCAGTATGCAGTAGTATGCACCAACGCCAACACGTGTGCGATGTATAGGGTCTCCGAGAAGACAGCTTGCTTAGGTGCAAGTTGTTTTTGTGCAATTTCATCGAAATTTGGACGACTAGCTCGTAATAGAATATTCATTTTCAAATGTATCATAATCACATCCTCATAGATATACATCTCGAAAATTTTCATTTGAAACTGCACATCCGCGTTCAATCGCTTATGCGTGGATGATAACAACGGATGAAAAAAAATGCAGTTTCGCAGCAATATACACGTGACTTTCTGCGTGCCAAATATTTCAGAAATGTTTGCTAAAATAAAGAAAATAACGCATTACAAATTATAATTGTTCAAACATTTTTATCGGCGGGCAATTCAATTATAGTCGACGATCGATAATGTCAATGCTCTACTATTACTCCCGCGGCCCACCGGGTCCATTTGATAATCGCAATCATCGCAATTTACCTAGGGCTGGCCGTTTTTAATAGCACACACCTCGTCGACGACAAATCCTGTGGTCCGCGAGCGGAATTCGACACGTTTGCGATGCGCGTATCGTGTCGCGGTCGCGTTGTGTAATTAATCTCGTTTATCTACGCAACGTGGCCGAATAACGTACAGAAATTAGAGGCAATTATCTGCGGCCACGTTCTCCAGTCCGTCGACGTCGACCACGTCTGCCGTCTGCCTTTGCTCGTTCTCGTCAGTAGCTCTCATGAATGAATCCCACGAAACAGCTGACAGCTGACAGCACCTCACTCATCCATGTATACGGGATAGCGACCGCCTTCGAGAATTGTCAGGGAAAATATAGGTGATCTTCTGCGTATGACAGGTCGTACGATAACATTTGATAATAGTCGATCAGTCGGATCTCGCGTGTAATTCTATTGTAAAAATTGTCCACTTCGACCGCGCGGAATGTCTTTCAAAAAGGATCTAAAGTTGCTCGTTAAACCGTACTACTTGATAAACATCTTCCTCAGCGTCTCTTACATCATCTCCAAGCGCTTTCCTATAATTTGTAATTACATATTTGCTCAAGACGACTGCGAGCTCGATGGGGTGAGTTGATAATTAATCTGTCGGATATAATTTTTATAATGTTTTAAGTCATTCCATTAATAAGCACCTGTGCTTTCAGAGGGAAACGGAGATTCTCTTTTTCCTCATGATCGTTATCATGATAAGGACAAGGAAGACCGGCAGCGTGACCATGATAAATTACCTGACATCCAGTTTTGTGTATACGAAAGCGGCAAACTTGATCCTGTGGTTCTACGCGGACGTGCGGATGGGCATTCTGTTTGCATTTATTTTTATACGTAAGAGAAAAATGCGAAACACTATCTCGCGAACAGACTGCTGTACGTCGCGAGGAATATAATTACATTTTGTACGTAGTGTGCGGATTAGTGCTGCCAGAACCGACGTATCAAGGGCCTGAAAATGTGATCTACCTACGTGGGGCCAATGGACTGCAGGAGGAGCTGCAGCGTGACACCAGAGTGGTCTGGCTGGTGGCGTTCTACACCGCGTGGAATCCAGCTTGCGTTACTTTTGCGCCGATATTTTCCGAGCTCTCTGCGGAGTAAGACGACTTAATTTAAATACAGTCTAATCTCTCTTTCTTGTCACGGGAACTATTCTATATACCTGCTATCATTGAAAATACGTGCTTCAGATACGCGTTGGAGAACTTCAAGTTCGGAAAGGTGGACATCGGTAGATATCCGGACGCTGCGGCAAAGTATCATATTAGCGACGCCAGCACGAGCAAGCAACTGCCAACGTTAATACTCTTTAAAGATGGCAAGGAAGCGGAGCGACGTCCATACGCGGACAACAAAGGAAAGCTCGTCAAGTTTCTCTTCTCGCTGGTATGCCTCGCCATTCGGATCTAACTTGTTAAAATCTTAATTTGTGTAATTCTATTCTTATTTATTCATCTCAATTTTTCAGGACAATGTAAAGGCTGCGTTCGATCTCAATAATATCTACAGCGACTGTAAGAAACATCCTATCAAAAGGAAAGAGAGGAAATCGTTGAAGGCAGAATAATGAAGGCACACTTAGGCATTTAATGAAAAAAAGTTTTTGCAGTTGAGCGAGTTTCAGTTAGATGAACTTGTACCGTGTAGAAAATCCAGCTAGCGGGTTATCTCGATCGAGTTCTGATTCTAAATTAAAAATACGAGGATTCGTGTAAATATTTTGTTGCGTGTTGCAATAATCTCTGCAGTGCTCTTATATTGTCTTCACTTACGTTTAAACATCTGTACATAACATACGTCACAGATCGTTATTGTAATATTGTGTATGATGTGTGTGAATGTGCCATAGATATATATATATATATATATTAACATAAAATTCAAATATGTACAGAAAGCTTGTTACGCGATTAACAATAATGTTGCGTCGTTTCTCTTTACAATATGCTCGATATAGCTGTTGAATAAAAGCTGATCGTTGGCATGCACGCTCTTTTCTATTTTCTCTTATAAAAATGCAGTCATTTGCATTTGGCATATTACAATCTGTACAATGATAGAGTTTAATAACGAGGACTGTAGCACCTCGAACCCTTAAAATTAAATATAAATCCTGTTTCATTCCACCCAGACTGACCTAGACCCAGACTCCAAATTTAACTTTATTAATTTAATTTTTAAATAACTATATATCAAACACGAATGTATATATCTAATTCCTTTTTGTGTTCCGAGGAACATGAGACTATTATGATACGTTATTTTCTTTAATTCTTTAATCCTTTTAACAGTATGTAAAGTTTTATCGAAGTAACTTAAAGTGAATGAAATATATTCGATTTTCAGGGAATGGATAACAGCTGAAACATTAACAATGTAATAACAATAATGATTCATGATTTAATAAAGGAAAATGAGTAAGATACATAAAACCAATCAGAAATCATATACGATAAGAATATAAGATAGATTGCGAGATATATTTGGCAATTATACTGTGCTTTCTTTATTGTATAATAAAATTGAAACATCTTGTTGAGTTCATGTTTCTGTTTAATTTTGATTTTTGTTTCGCTGTTTATAGTACAGAAAAGAGGAACAGAAAAATTCATCGAAGATATGTTTCTACTTAGAGACTTAATCGATATCACTTTCTTCAATGTCTTACATATATATAACACATTTAATGTTGCCTCATATTAATTATGCTTATATGCAAATTGGCGAATATGTTGCAATAAAAATCAGTTTCTCACAGTCTTCTAAGAATCGTGATGCATTAAGTAATAAAATTAATCTACTTTTGTCCAATGTTATACTAGGAACTGAAATACTCTTCGAAAGATAAAGTGATATATTCCTTCTAATCCATTTCTAATAATGTAAATAACAGTACAAACTGATCGTTACGCACACACGCGATATACTTTACAATGTTTACAATAAAAAGTAAAATATGTTATAAACAAAAAAAGATCATAAATATTAGTTGCTTTCCATTTACATGAAAACTCAGATAATTCTCACTTGTGATGTCATTCTGTCTTTATTATTCATTAATTCCCAAAAAGGATAGAACGGCGTCACAAGTGAGAATTAGCTGAGTTTTGATGTATATGGAAAGCACCTAATATATCTACCAAAATCTTCATGATTTAGTTCTACTTCCAATTTTGTGTGTACATATTATTAATATCCTAAAATATATTTGGATAAATAATTTTCAACCCTCTTACAATTAAAAAATTACACTTATTTGTCTTGATGGAATATCGCGAAATCAAGAAATAAAAAGTTATTAGTATAAATGACACACCGATGCATTGTAAAATGAAACAAAAAATATAAAATCAGTCATTCGATACAAAATAAAACCATTCTCACTTATATTCTTTATATTATACGTTACGTATGTAAGTTCAGCGTGTATATACATTTGACTTGAAAGAATCTCTAAGTATTATTTGGTGCACAGACATGCGATCGTATGTAAATGCGAAAAATGGGTGCGTCAATATAAAGCCTTTGAAATGAAATATGTACTGGCCCGTTGGAAATTTCGGAGTAAAAGGTCTGCTTGGTTTTATTATAAAAATGTAGAAAACGAACGGATGGCGGGGAAAGGATGGATCGATATAATTATCTTATATTTACATATAATTTGCAAAGATCTACCCCATCCCAAGGATAAAACAGATTTTTCACTGGGGGGGTTCACCACCGTTCGATAAGGGTGGTGCGCCGAATTTCGCGGCGACGCGTGATTTCCTGGGTTTGGACGATTTTCCCGCATTTTGTTGCGGCTGTTGCGATTGTTGTTTCTGCGGTTCGCTCGACGTTTTCTCCCTGGCCTTATTTACAACTTCCGGCTTCTGTTTCTGCGTGAGAGAAATTGGCGATTCGATTACAAATATCAATGCGACAAAAAGAAACGACTTAACTTTTATTTACGAACCTTGGGCAACGTTTCCTCTTGTTTCTGCTGCGCTTTAGGACTGGAGCTCTTTTTAGTATTCGGATTCGGCTCTTTCGAGGCTTGTTGTACGCTGGCGTTTCTACTCTTTTTCTGAGCTTGTAACGGAACGAACGCGGTACTATTTCTGATCTCCATCTTCGGTCCGTTCTGAGGACCTTTCTGTTGCCCTTGATGTCTCACTTGCTGCTGCATGACTTGGCTATACGATGCGACTTGTCCGAACGCTGGATTCGGTGGCATTTTTGGATTCCATTTTGGATAAAATAAGTTAGGCTGCATAGGCAGAGTCTGCGGGACTGGCGGCATTTTCAGAGGGCCCATAGGAGCCATCATAGGAGGCCGGATATTTTGGATCCAGTTATTTTGTTGAGTATTAAACCATTGAGGCGTCATCACTATTTTCGTATCGTGCATTGACGCCTTATTAAAATTTAACGCCTAACAATAAGCGTCACATTAATAAAATAATCAAGATCGAAAAGGAAACTTTTTATACACTTATTATTACCTTGTATGCTTTTTTTGCAGCGCTTTCTGCGGCTTGCTCGTGAGTGGTGCAAGGATCTCCTTTAAAAACCTTTGCATTTTCCAACATAACGTGGGCGCTAATTAAACCTGTCTTCTCGTCGACAATATAATTATATTTCGGTATGCCAGCTCCGTTATACGAAAAATGTCTTAACAGTTGCGAGCTATACCAGACCGGATTTACTTTCTCCTTTTTCTGTTCGGTTCGTCGAGCGTGCTAAACAAACGCATACATATCTTTAGATGTAAAATTATTATATGCAAACACAATATAAATGAATTAACACAATATAAATGCATACATCGAACAACTGTTGTACCAAAGGTGGAGGATTCAAAGTTTCAGCTTTCTGTGAAACTGTCGCTTTCTGAAGCGTCCCCGCTGGTTGCGACGTAGATTGTTTACTTTCTTGCTTACTCGTTTGCGGATTTACGTCAGGAATCTTCAACACAGCTTTCAAAAATGCGCTAGGATCTTGCGGCTGTAATATAACGATCCTTTAGAAATATAGCAATAAAACAAATCGAATTTTAAAAGTACAATATTCAGTGCTTACCGATTGCATATTATTGCTAAATGGCTTGACTTTCGTCATTGGACTGGATGCTACTTTCTCCGGCGGTCCATTCGGCTTCTATCAAAGCAAATATTGTAGCAAAATATCTATAAGATTCGTGAAACAACCTCGCAACTCTACACCGCTACATTTACCTGTATCTTATGCAATTCGTTCCATAACGCTTGAAACTCGGATGCTTGATTAGGATTAGGTGGCGCGTTTTGAGGATGTTGTAATACTTTACACGGTATTGTTTTCGGACTCAATTCTATCATGCCGTGTTGCGCCATACCCAAACAAATCTCACGATTTAATTTCTCAAGGCCCTTCTTAGCGAGCTGCATTGGCGGGTACGGTACCTTCGACGATTGATCGTTCTTGCTGGGAGAAGCGGAATTCGCTGTTTGCTTTCGACATTCCATCAATTCATTCGGATTTCCGTGCTCCGTTCTTTCGCCGAAACTAATATTTATGAAATCCGTAGCTGCCAAGCGATAACCGCGAAATTGAGAGCAACCGTTTAGCGTAAGTCCGCCTGCAATGCACACGTAAACAAAAAATATTCCTAAAAGTTCAAGGGCACTTAATATTTGAAGTTCCGGAAAGTTATGTATTTCTCACCCATGAAAGGCTTATCGAACACAACGTCGTACATGGTGTCAAGCGGAGTGTTCCCCTTTCGTATCCCTATGATAGTGCCTTTAGCTCCGAGCGGTACGCTAAAGCCGCTTCTGATACAGCGAATTCTATCGAACAAACGATTTTGGGAGTTTGGATCGGGCGGCACGTTACGCAAATTTAAACCCGGCTTGTAAAGTAACTGCGGCTTCACTTGCAGAAAAACTGTTTTCGCCGTGGTCTCCTCAGTCTTCAAGCATTTATCTACTTCCTCTTCGATCTGTTTTATCAGGTCCGTTTCGATGACGTCCATCCCGCAAACGCGACTGTCCAAACCTTGCAGTTCTGTTTTCAGCCACGCAACTGTATCTTTCAGCTCATCCGATCTATATAATGTTCACGTTGCATTATTATATCATGATATGATATATTATATCATATTTTGTGACATAAAAAAATACGCAATGTACCCCGTATTGAAGAGGTCTCCCTCTTGGAAAATGTCGTTCGTCACATTGTGGGCCAAACGTTCGAACAAAATAGGACATTTCGTCATATAATTTCGAATCAGTTCGATCGCTTTTGTGCTATACAACCATTGGCTGTTCTCCTTTCTGGTATAACCAGGCACCTTCGAAAATTTCGATAGATTAAAAACGGAAAATGATTAAGAATGTGCAACATTTATCAGTCATATTTAATATAATGAATAAAATTTGTTTTCGTATATATTTCTTACCTCTTCATTTCTTTTATTGAACTTTAAGTTCAACCCGAGGTTATATTTTGTAAGTTCCTCCTTCATTGGTTGTATGACGTAAATTGTCCCAGTGATTCTGCTTAAAAGATGACTACTTATTCCAAGACGTTGCGCGGCAATACTGCCGTGCATATATCGCGTCTTCTGTTGCGTGTAGGCTTGTTTAATGGCGTCGAATGTTGGCTCCTTTACGGATTTTATAGAAATTTTGATTCTGCGCGACTTTGAAATATCCTTATTTTGTATAACCTGTAGATTCATAAAATCTTTTTAAGTGAAACTAAATTCCGTTCCAATAAATTTTAAAGTAATTTAATTAGAATCATTATATAGAATCATTAATCTCAATAACCAATATGACACAAGAAAAAATCCAATGTGATTGTACCTCTCCCATCGCACCGTAATAAGGACGTCCCAACATAAAACAAAAGGTTCCTGGTATAAAAATATCATGCATAGTTTCGTAAACTGTCAATTTTTTGCTGTAGACGGAGATATCTCTGACTACAGTCTGATAAGCGTAAACCGCAGGATAATCGTTCCACTGTTTCTCGATTGTAACTTTTCCCTGACCACCAAAAATATATTTGCTACCCAGAAATGAGCGAGTAAAAAGCAACACATCCGTATTGCCAATATCTATCCCAAGACGTGACATATGTCTAAAAGCAAATATCACCAAAATATTATATTACGTTCTCAATATTACTCTATCATAAATGAGAGCATTAATAATGTCATCTTACATTTCTTTGATTTGTTTTTTGTGCGTCTTCCATTCCGCGGCTAACGCGGTCTTTACCTCTTCTTTCTTTAGATTAGCGTCACTGTAACCGTCTAACTGATTGATTAAACTGAATTTCACGTTGCAGTCAGCTACGCCAATTACGAGGGCCTCCTTCAAATGCGGCCATTCCACATATACGCTCTTTCCTAATAGCTCCGACGCTAAAGTTGTCAAACTTGGTGTTGGTTTCGATATTATGCTTAAAATCATATTTTCCCCGACTGAAGGTTGTTGAAATACTTTGACCTAACAAAGATAATTATATAACAACTTGTTGAGATTCATAATAATATCGAATTCCAATATATGTACCTTCGCTTTGTCCAAATGCGCTGTATAATTCAAGTGCCGTAGTATAGGAAATCCTGGATAATAAACGTCGAGATCAAAACCTGGGGACAATCCGCGAATCAACTGTTCTCTCGGAACGAAAATGTCATCGCGATTCATTAATTTTACTTCAGCGTGACTGACAAATTCTGGAAAGTATACGGTTGCTTTATGAACACTTCGGATCTCGTCAGTATACGAGTACGAACACATCGGCCCATGTTTGTTCCTTGCTTGTTCTTCCGTCGACAATCTCGATAAGTGTGGCTGCATAGCTGTCACAGATAAGTAGAGAGAAATTTAAATTTTTTATATTGGTATTTTAAAAGAAAGTTTAAAATTTTTTAATTGAACATCTAAATTTTTTCATAAAGGGGCTAGCGAACAAAGCTCGTTCTTAGTGCTTATAATTACATCTTACAATCGACGAATAAACATATAATTTATTTAAATCTTATTTCACACAAATATGGATATTTTCAAGACAGAAGAGGATTATTACTCACCAGCCAACAACAGTTTTTCATCAATGAATGGGATAAGTACAACTGCTTCCCATTCCTGACGTTTTCCATTTAGATCAGTTTTAAAATTATGTGGATAATAATTGATAATGGGAGAAGAATCCTCTGTCAATAGCGATTGAAATGCTTCTGGCAACAGTTCTTTGCTAAATGCCGGTAACACAGCTAGTAATTGTTGAAAAGGTAAGAACGGCTCTCCCAACTCGAATTCTAACTTCAAATCCTTGAAGTCTTTTATATCTGAAATATACGGGGCGTAATGATGCGGATAATACCACGACCAGCTGCAACAGCCGTGATAATAATAATGCAAATTCCACTGTATCGCTCTCACATAGCCCTCAGCCTGCGAACGTAAAACTTCTCTGGAATTAAATAAAGTATATTTGTGAAAATATTGGAATACTAACGTCAGACATTTTGTGTAAAATTATACGTATCTATAAATTACTCACTCGTCAACGTTCTCATATTCTAACTTGTTCATATAGTAATCTTTCTTATGTTGTACAAATTCCATATTGTATATATCACTATCGGATTCATCATCTATTATTAAATCCATATTATCTCTATACTCTATAAAGACATCATCATCATCGTCAAAATTACCTAAGGACTGTGTTGCAAAGCATTAATTTTCACTTATTCAGCTATCTACAGCAATCATAAAAAAATATTTAAATAAGTACCATCTCCGTAGTACTTTTAATAAGAGCATCTAAATCTTTATTTTGCGTTTTCTTTGGAGATGCGTTCTCGCTGTCGTCTGATTTTTTATATACATGACGTTCAGATTCATTGGGCCTTCTACCTGTTTTATTTTCAAAAAACTTTATATCGGCGTAATGCTCGTTAAACTGTTCTACGTCTAAACGACTAAGTTTCTCCATAAACTTTTCAAAACGGTCGAGTTGTAATGTTCCCGCTTCATTTATGTAACCTGAAGCAAAACAATATATCATATTTATTTAATTATATAAAGATATAAACTAAAGATAACTGATAACAGTGATGACATACCTTCTAGAGTTGGTAATACTTCCATGTATGCACGGTACAGAATTGGCAGTGCACCGTTGGCAATGTGTAAATTTGGCAGGTGGGGAATAAAATCGTTTCCTACCAGAAAACCCATCAAAACCCAGTCATCGATTATTTTCTCGATATCAAATGTGAAGGATAGCTTATCCTTGAGCGACGAAAACTCGTGCTCTATGTACTCTCGCAAAAGCGACAAGTGAAGAAGGCAAAACTTTGTCTCCTCGGGGGTCATTTTCACTTGCTGCTTACCAAACTTGACTTCCTCTCTCAAAAGAGAGAAGTTTGGCTCGTGTGAACAGAGACCCAACATTATTAAATCGGCATCCAAACCGTATAAACAATGCCTAGAGTTACAGTCGTAATCCTTGCTCGCCTTCATGTACCTTATGTAATCCATAATTTTATGCTCTCCCTCTCCGGGGACCTAAAACAGATTCAATACGTTATATTCTATTGAACAACAAGTATCTCAGTCCTGCGTTATTTCTGTGAAGAGGGCAAATTATATTTGTCTCTCTTATGTTACATTATCGGAAGATTACCTCAGACCCGCTGAACAGTATCCTACACTTTTTCCATGCATCATCAGTGGAAATCTTATGTTCGACAAAATGTTTGAGCTGCTCGCCCAGTTTAGCCATAAAGAGCGTTCCCGGGGTTATGCAATTTGAGTCGAATCTCTTCTCGGTGGGTATCGGGATACCCTTGGACTTGGCTCTAGCCTCTTGCACCTCGACATCCTTGGCGGCTCTGAAACGCCGGCCCCTCTGCTGATTTATCTTGGCTCTAGGCGCGACGCCGTCGATCGCCATGAAGAACAACTTTTGCGGGCGGATCATGTTGAATAGCACCTCTATGTAGTGAAATATATTCTTAAAAATCATCTCCTCGGTGATGCGGAAGCAGACGTCGTCGTTCGGATGGGAACATGTATGTATGATACCGTTCATGTCCAAATATAAATAATCGAATTCCGGTATCTAAAAAGAAAGGGAAGTAATGTCAATGACTGTGATTACTGCATTAGGATGAGGGGGGAGGGGGATTATAAAAAAAAATAGTTTTATCTTTTTACTGAAACGTTGAAGAGAAGGCAAATCTTGTTTTGCGCGCAATAAGGAAAAAAGGAAATGACGAAGGAGCATGGTAGGGCGAAGGGAAAAGGGGCCCCGTCGCCCGAGGATTTGTATTGCTTTTTTTCTCTCTTCCCTCTGTCTCTCCCTCTCCCTCCCGTTAAATACCTGATGTTCCTTCACGACCTCGCTGAGGCAGGGGTATCTCTCGCTTATGTATCGGAAGAATTTCGGCACACCCATCCTGAGGCCTTGCTTCTCGACGTCGAAATAAACACGTTCCCCGACTGAGACTCTGTGCCCGTGGCAAGCGCTTCGCGCGTCCCTCTCGTAAAGGTCGTTCTATCAAAATTAAAGATTTCGCTCGCGAGTACGCTATATCAACTTTGCTTCGACGGTAACGTCCGTCGCGGGTTGTCCGTTTCAGACATAGATGGGAAGACGAGTGCGGGAATCCTGGACTGGATTCGGAATGGCCGCCGACCGGGATCCGGGATCCTCTCCGCGGCTCCGTTCTAAAGTGCTCTAAAGCGCCGTTCTCATGGGGCGGGAAAGGTCGATGGGGCGGCAATCCGCCATCCAGCAATGGAGACGTGTTGTTTGATTGGAGACAATAGGGCGGTTTTTCTTCTCCATCCAAACGGCAATCACGTCAGTAATTAATACCAAACAACATTTATTTTCTTAGCACGGATTAATTTGTAATTAATGGAATAATTAACTTTTTCATTGTTTAACATAGGTTAAGAGAAAATAGGTTAGGAACAACGAATTGCGTAATTTTTATTTAAAGCTGGTTGTTGAGTTAATCGCCGCGATTAAGTTAATCACTGTTAAATCGTGGTTGCTTTAATTATCGGAACCAGCGGCCAGCAATTCGTTGCCGTTGGTATTTTTGTCTTAATGCCATCTCAGGGAATATTATGGTAGTCGGTGTCTCTTCGAATGAGCGCAGACGATAAGAACGGAAAGACATGGGTCGCACTACCTCCTACGAGAAGGAAAACAGTGTCGAAGAGAATGTTATATCAAAGCTATTCATCAAGGATGGAAACAGAGACGCAATACTTGATTATCGCAAATTTAAAGAGGTATTTTTCGTCTGTTATCTTAATAATATCTGATAATATATTGGCTGCCTTCGGAAACGTCACCCGGGTATATTACCTTCTCCTTCTAACTCGCTGAGATAGAAAGAGAAGGGAGTATACTCGTGTACACTCGGGTGACGTTTCCAAACGCAGCACTATATGTGACTATAATGGGTCTGTTTTCTATAGCTGAACTGCAGGCTGCACTAGTTCAGAGTTTATCTTTTTTACTCCACATTGGAAGGAAAAAGATAAACTCTGAACTAGTGCGCCCAGTTCAGCAATAGAAAACAGATCAATTATTGAGATAAATATATGATAATTAAATTACAGTGCTCCTCTCGAACCAACGTAACGCAAAGTGACAATTAACAATGGCTGATGATTGTCGAGAATTAGCAGTGTAGGATAGCTTGCGAATAATAGTATCGGCGGATGCTAGGTAAAATTTAAAATTAATTAAATTAATTTTTTAAAATCAATTTTATTGAGTTAAATTTAAAATTGAATTGAAATAATCGATGCAGTCGATCATATTGTCATTTATTAATTATAAGTTAATATCAACAAATAAATGTTTACAAAGGGGAGTTTCTCCTGCCTGAAATTATCCTTGCCTAATTGCCATTCTGCGTGCAAGAATATATAAAGTGATGATTTTTTGTGTTAGCTATCAATGTACAAGTAATTAATATTTTGATGTTTCTTAAACGTCAGACGCGACTAATTTAAAGCAGCTTCTCTGCCTTGATCTGAATTGTCCTCGGATTTTTTATAGATCCTCAAATTGTTCCGGTGAAGGCAATGCGGCTTACTCGCGCGTGAAGTGCGTTTCCGCGGGTACCGGCTGAAAGCTGAAAGATGATCGCTTGCGTATTCTCTGCCGCACAAAAATCGGTGGTTAAGCACTTTCGAGCTGACGCATTGCTTAAACATTTTGATCGTTGCCACGCAGTATGGCACGTGTTAGCTGTCTTCGTCCTGCTCATTTTCGATCGACGCGAGCGAATAGAGCATAGAAGCGATCGCAAACGATCCTCATTATTGGCGTCTCACCGAATAATATTACGCGCCTCCGGACCGGCGCGGCGACGGCGGCGAGCATTAGAATTTTGGACCTGGAAGGAAGGCAGACAGAAAAGAAGAGTGACAGGGAAAGAGAGAGAGAGAGAGAGAGAGAGAGAGAAAAAGGAAGAAAGGGAGAGAGAGAGAAAGAGAGAGAAATCTTGATAAATGGGAAAACGCGCCGTTTAAAAGGGCCGCTTATCGGCACCGCTGATCTCTCAGTAGAGATCGTTTCTTCGTCTCGCTACACGTTTGAATAATTAATTTGTTCTCGTGTGCATCGGAGATGTTAAGCGTTACACCACATCTCACATTACCTCGGCTGACCACGGTGTGTTTACGCTTACCCAGAATGTTTAAGATAACGGCCAGTAACCCGACACAGATTTTTAAATTACAAAAACGGATTTCCGACCGTCTATATCCCTCGATCTGTCAGAGACATTTTACTCTCAATTCGAGAATGCTCGCAGGTCAATTTTCTCTTCTACTTACATTTTTATCCGATAGAAGAAGGAATGTACCAGTTTGATGAAAAAATGAAGCTGACGGATCCTTTATAGAAATGCAGAGCAACGAAAAATATAACACGAAGTATTTACTCTTGTTCTAAAGCAGAGGCATGAAACGCAAAAGTGCAGTCTCGTATGAGTAATCGCATATAATTTACATGTTGAATCGCTTGCAATTCCGTTAGGACAAGATCTGATTAATAATTTATACATACGCTTCTTGCTTCAGGTTTTTCCATTAAAGCTTTTACCTCTGTCTTTGGATGCATTAGTGACCAGTGCTTTTTTTATACGACCCGATGCCCCGACTCATATTTCGCTTCGATGAACAAGCGCAATCTTCCGTTGCATTCATACGATACCCTTTGGATGATGTTTGAAAAACGAAGCTGAATTTTGCGACGTAAGGATTTTGGAGGTCGGAACTTAAGGAGGGACTGAGAGGAGAGCTTCAGTAGGCTTGTTCGTTTTAGCCGAACTTCTTGCACAGTTCATCTTTTCTCCTTTTCTCTTCAACATGAAAAAAGAAAAAGAGAAAGATGAATCGTGCAATAAGTTCAGCTAAAACGAACAGGTCTATTGACGTCGATCGCCGTTCGATAGCGTTCAATGACAAAATAACGAGAGACGAACCGGAAGAAGAGGAATAGTCTTTTTTCTGCCGGGACAAGAAGAGGAGCACGTTCGTCTTGGCAACATGATCGTGTATGACGGCAGGAAAACATCAGAATATAAATGCGAATCCTTGCGACATTCTCTCCGCTGGAATCGATATGCTAAACGGATGAACGAACGGACGAACGGATACATCGGCGAGCTGGTGGCATCGCGATCGATATACAGTCTCGATAAAGGGAGGCACACCGGCCGGTCAGTCGAGACGAAGAGGACGATGAAGGAGTAAGGAAGAAGGAGGTGGAGAAGGTGGAGAAGAAGAGGAGTCGCGGCGGTTTTAGATCCGGTGATATAGGTGGCACGATATATAAGCTGCTCGTTCGCTTGTCCGCGTCTCCGTGGCCGGGCATACATAATCGGGTAACCGTTTACGTGACGCGACGCGGGACCGAGTCGATCGGCGACGAGCGACAGGGCAACTTGGGAAAAAAACACGGCATTTTGATAGAAACGATCGGCAGGGTACGGTCGGCATATATAAGCCGTAGATGGACCTCACGTGTGTTTCAGTTGCCCGAAAACCCTTACAAGTTCCGGACGGTCTCTCCTTTTCCGAGCTAGAGCGCCTTTTCTAGTAGCAAGCCCTTATTTTACCTTCTTTTCTTTTTCTTCCTGCCCTACTTGCGACGCGCGTTCTCCGTTCCTCTTTCTGTCGTATCCCCCGGGTTTGCCCCCGTTCTCCAATCTTCTACAACCGGCCCGTCCCTTAGCCCTTCGGCTATAGGTCTTGCATACGCATCGCTGATGCACACACACGTGCGTTTATATACTAACTAAAATATACCGAACGTTCATCATCGCGCTCTCCTCCCGATCTCTCTCTCCCTCTCTCCCTCTCGTCATCTCGTTCGCCACACACTGTCGCCCTTGTCCTTGTCCTGTCCCTTCTCGTCAGGAGTCCTCCTTGCCCTTTTTTGTCCCGGCTACCGGCGAACGCGCGCGTCGTCTTCTTCGCCCAGTAGTTTCCTCGCTCTCTCCCATCCTTCACCCTCTTCCAACCCGTCTAACTCTTTTTCTTCCCGTCTTTCTAACTCCCGTCCTCGTCGTCGTTTCTGGCCGTTTTGCTTTTGCACATTCTTGTTTATCTCTCCTGCAACGAGAGCGCGCGATCACTCCTGTATACATTGCATTCTCACTGTGCAATTGAACGGAGCGAGGACTCGCGAGGACACGTGTCTATTGGCACGTCGAAATAAGGAAGCTGAAGGAAAATCGAGAGAACGGGATAAGAGTGACAATGTTGGAATTGGTCATCTGGATCACAGTCATCTGGTCGCTGGTTCTTCTAATCTACTTTGCGTATTTCTTCAAGTTTAACTGGGTGAAAGTGAGTGTCGACCAAGTGGATTTATCCGATTCTGTGTTTTCCCTGCAAAGTGTTCTAAGATTATAAATTGGTATTTGTTAAAGGATTTGAGAAGTGAGAGTAAAACGCGGCAGACCGGCAGCGTTTATACGGCTAGTAAAAATCGGAAGGTAGGTAAACTACCGCCAGTCTATCCGAACGGATGGTTCGCCCTACTCGAGAGCTCGGAGATAAAAAGAGGTCAGGTGAAACACGTGTCTGCTCTCGGTGAAAATTTCGCGGTGTTCAGGTACGTTAGGGTGCGGAATTTCCTTCGAATTAAAGTTTCCCTCACTTCTTTCATACATTTTAAGATATACCTTGGAACTTTTGGGATAAGACACCCTGTATATTTATCACATAACGTTTTACGAATTTCTTAAAGAACCGAAAGAGGCGTAGTCAACATTTTAGACGCGTATTGCCCGCATTTAGGGGCAAATATGGCAGAGGGTGGCCGTGTCAAGGGAGATTGCCTGGAGTGTCCCTTTCATAGCTGGAAGTTTCGCGGAGAGGATGGCTACTGCGAGAGCATACCTTATACTGAAAAGGGTATTAATCAAGTTCTACATAATATCGTTTCAGGCGATATCTATTTACCCTTTTTTTCCCATAGTTTCTGTATGCTATATCGGCTAAGATGTTCGGACTGGATGTTTTTTACACCCTCGAACCACATTCCTGCATCGAAATACCTGTTTATGCATTTTAACATACAAATATTTGCGTATAATTTCGGGGGGTCCTTGGTAGATCGTCTTGATATACATCGCTTGCTGGCCTAGTTATTCGCAATTCTTATACTTGCTTCTATATTATTTATATATACTCTTGCCGAATATTCTTTAAATATTATGCCATGATGTTTTATAGTTTTCTTCATTTCGTACATGATATATAAATTTGACAAGAAACAATTAAATTAGTCGTACGAACTGCGAGTCGATATGGATCATAAAAAATATTCATAATTAAAAAACGTCAGTTACGTTATATGAACTTATATGAACTGTCTTTTGAATCTATTTTCAAAGCGAGTCCTATGATTAACGAAACACTCTGTTTAACGTAAATAGCTTTGCTTTAATTTATCTATGTAATAATTGTAATACAATAATATATATTTAATTATGAAAGAATATATTTATATCACTTAATCATGAAATTCGAAAAGCTATAGAAATTATCTATCGATGCATTTATTATTCCTCTATTTAGTCGTTTGCTTTTTTTGCACAGTGCCACACATCGCTCGAGCAAAAGTCTGGAAGTCCTGCGAAGTAAATCACCACATCTTCGTCTGGTATCACTCCGAATCAGTTGAGCCTGACTGGCAACCCCAGCCGCACACATTCATTTCCAACGGGACATGGCGCTACCAAGGTCGTAATGAGTTCCTCATTAACTGCCACATACAGGTTTGTCGCGCATTCAATTCTCTGATATAATAGATGTGTACACTTTATCACGCAAAAGCCACTCGTAGAAACTAAGAAAGAAAGAAAACAGTTATAGTTCATAAGACGTTACAAAACATAGGTGAATTAAATTAATCATTAGTGTTTACTCACTCGAGAGTGCTGTCAAGAATCACTCTCCAGAATCATGGACTGAAGAAAAAAATATTAGAGAAAGATTGAGAGAGAGAGACTTACTCTCTTTTACTTCACTCCTTTTTTATTTTATTCTTTTATTCTTTTTCCTCGGAAGTTCTTTCAAATGGACAGTAAACTTAATACCTGTTGATCTGTGCATTAGGATATAGCTGAGAACGGGGCTGATCCTGCGCATCTGGACGCGGTACACGGCCCGGGTATATTCCTCTCCGGCAACTTGTCCTGGCTGGCTCGACATTTGTGGATCACTAACAGGGGATGGCAGCCGCACTGTTCGTATGACAACCAGACAGACGAGGACGCAAACGCGGATGCAGAAACAGCGAAGATGCGTGTCAACTTGAACGGTGCGTCGATCCATCGGATCGAGAGCGGCAACGGGGATCGTCATCTCGCAGTCGCGGAGAACGGCTTCGGCAGAAGGGAGAAGCACAAAGCCGGCCTGCACATGTGCCACAAGTTGATCCTGCTGGAGCGCTTCAACGTGATGGAGATCAACGTGGTCATCGAGCAGATCGGGCCTAGTTACGTCGAGCTGATGATCGACACGTCGTTCGGACCTATGTGCATCCTGCAAACAGTAACGCCGATCGAGCCGCTGCTGCAACGGGTGACCCATCAGATCTTTTCGCCGCCCCTGTTGGCACCGTACGCCAATCTGGTCTTTCTGGGTGAGTGCGTGATGTTCCAGCGCGACATCATGATCTGGAATTACAAGAAATATGAGCGGCAACCGATCCTGGTGCGCGAGGACCGTGCCATTCTCGCATACCGTCGTTGGTACTCGCAGTTCTACTCTGATCACAGTCCCACTTATCAGACGGCTATGAAGGACCTGGAGTGGTAGCGATACCTCCCTTTTGAAATTTAACTTGTATACTTTCTGTTATATTTCTAGGTATTATTTTTATTATTAAAGCAGGTAACTTGTGTATAATGTTAATTAAAAAAAAAACGCGTTTGAGAGAGAGATCTTGTTAATTGTAGTATAAATAATTGTTGATCTAAAACAAGATTAAATCTTTATCAGTGTGTCGATATAGTTTTTACTATCGCTTTATATGTTGAATGTAACTGTATTTTAATCGTTGTTACATAAATTGTCGCTCATTGTGTACAAAATGGTGATGAGTCTAATTTTTATATTATATTTAAAATTTAAAAATATAAATTATGAAAACTAAATGTAATGCAGTATTGTTCTATAAAAACTCTTGTATCTATGTGTTCTATAGTATAGAAATTTCAATTGACGTATTCAATGACATTATCTTTCACGCGTTTCTATCAGTTTAATTAGTGAGCTACTTTACGAAGAAAAATGTCTTAAAGTTCACAACAAATCGTAGTTATCGTTACATATAACGCAATAACTTTATCGTATCATCGTCGAAAGGTATCATCGTTAGATAATAACACTTCAGATATTTTATATAGTTGCTTGACATACGCGCAAATTATTTTCACGCTAAATATCTTTTAATAACAAATGGCGAATAATACGCGCGGGATCATAGTTAGCCTGTTTACGACAAATGCGAAATTTATATTGTACATATCGAAACGAATTAATAATTAATTAGTTCCCGGTATTAATGTTCGGTAAATTGTTCACAAATCGAGGCAACACTGCATGTGCAAGCAATTTGTGCATTTAAAATACGAATCAAAAGGCTAAAAGATAATTAATATTGTACTTGATTAAGATTTTATATCAAGTATATTTCTCGCGTTTTTTGAATTTAACTTGCCGGCCGTTTCCGGAATCGACGAATAATTCAAACGAAAACTGGAAGACCGTATATCGATACGCAGTTTAATAATTCGATAATAATACATTCACCTCGCGTGGGATTTATGCAAAAGTAATTCGCAAATATATCGCACAATTACACAATATCAAATCGCGACTTCCTATTAATTAGCCATTACATCGACTTACGTTGTCACGCGGGAGATTAAACGGATTAACGTGAAGTTGGCCGCGTGACGCGTGACTTCACAATTGTTCCTGTCGCTGTCGCGTCCGCGTCGCGCAGGATTCGTTCGGGAATAGGGACGTGTGACGCGTGGGACGCTTAATTAATTTTTGTCGAACGGATCGTTGCTTCCTGCGATCCATCTTCCTTGCGTCATCTTCAGCTGCGACAACACGATTGTCATTCTGGCGAATAATAAGTACGAGGTCGAGTGCGTTTGTGCGAGTGCCGTCAAAGATCAACACGGATGGGACATGGGACTTTGAGAGCAGGAGGATGAAGAGAAGGAGGAGGAGCAGAGAAAGCAGATCTGGGAGGCATCGAGTGATGATGGAGCACCGATGGGTAAGTGATTTATTCGCTATCTATTCATGTATTTCTTAACCTTGAAATTGATCCGAAGCGCAAATGGCGCGCCTCAGTTTTGTAACACAGCGTGCGAAAAATGCATGTGTATCTTTTATTATTTTAAAATATTTAAAATAATATTTTCAAAATGATTTCCGTATTTGGACGTGCAATTTTTCATATTTTTCTCGGTCTTTAGAATATGTTGCATTCTAAAGTATAGATATTATGATAGTGATGGAGATATCTGCATGTGCAATTTTTAACTAAGTAATTGACAATTAGTCGTAGCTCAGACTTGATTTATTATGAATATATTTTTAACAATTAAACAATTCAAAAAAATGTTAAATTCAGAAATTTATAGATCTTATTACAATAACGTAATTCATACAAAAAAACGTTCTATAAAGAATTGCAAGATTTCAAGTATTTTATCTGTTTATTCTTATATAAAGACAAAGTAAAGATGACTATATTCTGACTTTCATACTATATTGAAAACTATATAATCACACATTTATATAAAACGCATTTTATAAAGAATAATATAATTTCAAATATTCTAATCTCTTATTTTTGTATAAATATACAAAGAAACTAAACATTATAGTTAAATTTTACTTATTTTCTTGCTAAATTAAGAGCTTATAATATTTGCATAAGAATTTGCATTACAAACAAACATATAATTACAAGTATCTTTTCTATTTTTGTATTAAAAAAATAACAATCATGAAAGCTGATAAAATTTGAAGAGAATTATATTTTTTGTAAAGACAGAAATTTTTTCTTCGTACATAAGGAAATCATTCATAAGTTTCTAAGCTAAAAGCTCGGAAAAAATTTGAAAGAAGATATTCGTGTTTAAAGATGCCGAAAATAAACCCACAGACCACCTTTTGGTGTTGATAAAATGGCTCCAGGAATCATCTTTAAAGGTATTTGCGTTCTTGGGGATAGTTCCATGCTATATTTTCTCAGAATTATAGCCAGACCTGCCTTCATCTGTAGCTGAGCCATTCTCATCCCCACGCAAAATCGCGGACCTTCGCTAAAGGGAAGAAAGGCGAATGTCTCGATGCTGCGTTTTCTGTCCGGGTTGAATCTTTCAGGATTGTACTCATCAGGATTTTCCCAGTATTGCGGATCGTTTTGCAAAGCTTGAACCGGTATCAGGACCTCCGTTCCGGTTTGCACGCGACAGACAACTCCATCCGAGCCTTTCAATTCGGTTTCCTGCGTGCATCGTTTCTTCATAAGTACTCCTGCAGGTACTATTCTCATCGATTCGTTGAAAACTTGGTCCATGTATGTCATCTCCTTTAAACCTTCATAAGTGATTTCACCGTCGTATCTGTCAAGCACGGTCACCACCTCTTCGCGTAATTTCTCCTGTATTTTAGGATGACTGGCCAGATGGAAGCCGATGAAACTCATAACAGTGGAGGTCTCGTAGCCACCGATGAAGAACGACATCGCTTGTCCCGTGAGCATTTCAGTGTCGAATTTATCGCCCTCCGCCCGTTCCCGTTCGGCCATTAAATGGAGAAAATCAGCCCTGGGTATTCCATCCCTTCTTCTTTGCTCCATGAGATCTGCAACCAACGTCCTGAAGAAATGTTCGACGCGCTTTGAAATGACTCTCATTTTAATGATTTTGTTTAACGATGGAATAAGGAACACGAGAGCGAACATAATTTTATTTCGTGTGGACGGCTTAAAAATAGATTCTCCGATTTCTCGGAAAGACATCTCTTTTTTCTCGTCATCGAAGCAGTGTCCATCTACGCCGAAACCAGCGGCGGCTACTACTTGAGCGGTGTATCTGGAGAACAAGGATTTTAGTTCAAACTCCGTCTTCGTGACGTTGCTCAGCTTTCCATCGATATATTTTTCTAACGTCGCGCACACCTGTTTGACGCTTTTTAGCAGGATCTTCAGTCGCGTATTGGAAAATGCCCAGGTCAAGCGTTTTCTGCTGTTTTGCCACTTCTCGCCGGAAAGAACGAAGGGATGATATGACGCGAGCGGATCCACTTCATAGTCAATATTGATGGTGTTTTCAGAGAAACTGGAGAAATTGGTTTTCAGCACCATTTTCACTAACTCCGGCTCGATAATCATCAACGACGGCGACGTAAGCTGGTAAATCCCGATCATGCTGCGACCCTTGTTATTTTTGTAGATATTGTAACAGAAATCGCCGAGGTTTGTCTTCATGCAGATTACCAACAGCATGTGTCCGAACCCCGGCAAGGGTCCATCCATGCACGGAACACCACGGTTTTGCCAGTATTTGTAATTTCGCGTCAAGTAGAAATAGAGGGCTATAAGCGCTCCGAGAATTAAAGACACCAGCACAACGGTCATATTGCTTCTCTTGGATGACAAGTGACTTGGGCTGTGTTCAAATATATATATATGTACTGCCAGATGTATATATATGTACTGTCAAATATATATATATGTACTGTTCAAATATATATACTGCCAGAACTAGCATTGTTTTTTTCTTGTTTTCTAGAAATGCAAACCGGTTCTGATGTAAACTGGAAAAAAACAATAGCTCGGTTGTTTTTATATTTGAAATAATAATATAAATAATAACAATGATGATTAATGATAATAATAACAACAGTAGCCTCAGTGATACTTTATTGACGCCGCGCGCCGTGATTATCATTCTGATAGGAAGTTTGCGAGTTGTAATAAAATATATACCTCGCTTGAACAAGCAATAACGTAAACATTGCGCAACTAAATTCCAGAACAATTTTCTCTATCCTTATAGTATCATCAAAATAATTTTACTACCTCATTTTAAGACAATGACTACGTTTACCCGGCTCGATTTACGCCGAAGTTATAACATCGATGTTATAACTTCGGCATAAATCAGGCCGTGTAAAAAATAATTGAAAATTATTTTAATCCGTTTAACAGTTTAACATATATTTCTTATATTCTTTTTTCAATGATTATAAAAAATTAATTTATTCTGATAGATTTGAAAAAT